GATAGAGCGCTTGAGGGGGAGAGAATGAGAGAGGAAGCGGGTCGGGTAAAAGCCCAAAGTGGGTTCTCAAAATTTGGTTGATTTTAGTTTGACTAGTACGAGTACTTACTGTATACTCCAAGAGTACGCCGGAGTATGTTGTGTAAAAAAATAATAATAATAATTATTATTATTATAAAATAATAAAAAAAAATTAGAATAAAATAAAATATTGTGACTGGGTTCAAGGCCCGTCCACATTCCTACATGATTGTGCAACCCGTCAAACATAGACTTTGACATACATCCACTGGATGGGATGTACTAGTAGTACTGTCACTGTGTGCTACGGTAGTACCAAACTGTACCTGCATCGTCACCTTCACGGCAGATCGATCTCGCCTGTACGACACATCTCAAGCGTTTCATGTTACATCTTCTCTGCAACTTCTTTTTCTTTTATTTTATCCCGTCAACCTGACTCGTCACATGGAATGAGAACTTAATCTACCGAAACATTCTCGCCGTCTTGGCAACCGGGAAATTGCCCAGGGTGCCGACGCTGGTATACTAGTATTAGAACGATTTATTACCAAGCTATTAGTTAACCGCGTATGCCGTTGGTCCACTTGGACACACAAGAGGATTCATTCTCATGAGACATGCGTCCTCTGTCATCGGGATAAGCACCATGGACAAGCATGAGGTTCAAACACTGTCATCGTGTGTACCTGACGGTACCATGGGAAATAGCCGCCCACTGACACAGTAGTACCTTGGGTACCTCATCGGGGAGACCCGGTACAAACAATGGCTGCAGAACAATGGGAAATCTTATCAATCGAAGTACATACATGCGGACATACTACTACTAGTAGTACTACTAGTAGTAGTACATACATACTAGTACGACCTAAACAATGCTATTCATCCTCACTAACGGAGACACCCTGGTCTAGTCCAACCCTAGTTCCAACTTCCGTCCTCCATTCAAGTCCAGCTGTATAGATTAAAACGCACGACGCCATTTAACCGGAGACTCCCCCAGAAGGAAACTAACATGTATCATTTGATCCCTGCGGAAGGAACAAGTCATATCCCCTGGCCTTATTACCACCCAGTGGCCACAGAAACCCCCGACACAAGTCTCCATCTAGTCTAAGACATTCTGCCCGGTTCTCCTGAGTGGCTCCGGAAAATGCACAAACCTTTTAATTTACAAAAACGCTCCCGTCCCCAACGGCTCCGACGCCATGTCAAAAGGCTCACTGACTCCCGGTCGGGGGAGGGGCGGAGATTGTGTCAAATAGATTCCATTCTATCTTTGGCGCCAACTAGTCTAGGCTAATCCAACATTGTGCAATTAAAGGCTTCCAAAAACGAACCGTCCAAACATCCGACGAATGCCCGGGTATCATTCACTGCCAGATCCAAACATCCAAAGGAACACCGCCAAAAGAAAAGAATAGAAAAGAGAGGACGGGCAAGAATAATCCTGAAACGCCCTGATAAACTTCCAATGCTAAAGAAAAAACGGGTGACCAAAACCTTTACTATTCGTCAGGCACAGAATGGAAGGGAATGTACCGCCAATTCAGAGAGATGGACTTTCATAAAAAACTCAGTTCGTCATCACTATCGTCATCCTGCGAGCAAGGAATCGTCCACCAGGTTATGGGTGGTGCACTTGATTGTTTGCCAGCACCCCGCCCCAATGTGGCCGAGAGTGACTTTCTCCGATTCGAGTCGGTACCCTCGTCCGTGGTTCGGGAATGATGCCTGCGAGTCATAGGGTCTACGGCTGAAACGTTCTTATTAACAATGACCACTTCAACCTTAGTTGTAGGGAATGATGTGTCGACAGAGAAGGATTTCGGAACTTTCGGTTGGACTGAGTCCTTGAGGGCCCCACGTGCAGCCCTGGTCCGGGCGGCTATCGGAGATCCTGCAAACGGGAGCTCCGACGCCATTGGTGAATCACGGGTTTGGCTTTCCACAGGGGTTGAGCGAAGCCTCTTGCATGATTTAGAGCCAACTCCTGTGGCCGTGAAAGCTCTTTTAGCTGAGACAGATGGCGCAGATGATGTGACGCTGGAGGCAGCATCCTGTGAGGGGCTAGAACTAGATGATATGCTACTTGTCGAGCACGCAATGGTTGCCGGCCGAGTAGAATATCCTTTGGCGATATTCAACTGAGTAAGTTTCGGTTTGGTTGCAGGTGTACTAGCCACCCACTCACCGATACTTTCCTCCCATCGATACATATCAACGCTATCGTCTGGGGCTTCATGGCCAGATGCGGGCGACTGTTTCGGGCTCTGCCCTTGCTGAAGTAGAACCGCCTTCTGTTGGACCTCAATCGCCCAGGTATGGTCATCGGCATCCAGAGTAGACTCGGCGAGTCCCATGGCAGTTTCGGCAGCTATTTTTGCAAGGAGCGAAGAGAAACAGTGGACATTCGCCAGTTCAGCCAGCTGTGAAATTTTGGACCGAACCCCCAAGGATACTCTAGTTTGGTCGCTCTTGCGTGTGCGCTCATAAAACTTGATAACCTGCCGGACCAGCTCTGCTAATTCTCTGACCATGTCATGCTGACACGCTAATGATAAGAAAAATAGTTTCATATTCCTCCTCGAGATAGAGTCCGACGGGCCGAAAGGCTCAAATGACGACACTTCGCCACACTGTAGCAAACGGTCGCCTACTAAGACATATCCACGGCGCAGTGAATGAAGAGTCGTTCTTTTAGCCTCGTACGGTTGTTCCAGTCCGATAGCCCGCTGAACAGTAAATGCCAAATGCCTCAACGTGTCTCTGAATTTTACGCCGATCACGTTATCACTGTCACCTACGGATTGCGACCGTGCGATATACATTCCGCATAGCGCAGTAACAAGGCTTGAAGTGAGATTGTTCAAGGCATCTTGGATTGGAACAGGGCAGGGCGACTGGTCTTTGGGTAGACTTGCCGTATTCGCCGCGGAGGCACGAGTGTCCTTTTGACGACCACGTAGTGTACATAAAACCTTTCCGTGAGACACGAGCACCACATTTGAAGCCTGGGAAATACCCCCAGCCGAAAGTATCACAGCTTCGATCACTCGTGTTGCAGCAGCCGAGTTAACACATTCGGTTGATAGAGCTTTGATTGCCCCATCTACACAACGCTTCCACAGATTAGTGACCATCCACTCCGGCGGCATGGCTCCACGTGAAAGGAGTTTCGCCAGTTCGTCAAAGATAAACGAGCGGCTTCCAACACATTTTGCGTAATACGTTCCCAGGATATGGACAGGATCGTCACAATGGGTTGATGGCGTGTGAGGGTCGAACGCCGTTGGGTAATCATATGTGTTAACGGTTGAGAGTTGTTTAGACAATAGTAGCTCAAAGGCGTCAATTTCGCCATGGCTCACACATTCCTCTAGAAGTCGACAAGCGGCGAGCTTGGTAACCCAACCCTTGTGCACCATCTCAGAGACCAGTCGGATGCCCTGAGCACGCACGGCTTCGCGTAGGGGCGACCATCCATTGCCACCCGGAGCATAATGGGCCTCGAGTTCGGTAAAATATGCATCACACATATCTGCATCACAATCCTCTTCGAGCTCATCTTGTATCCTCTGCTCTTCCGCAATAAAATCAGGGAGACGTCGCACGGCCATAGACAACAAGGACCGAGCGCCCCGACTTTGCTGTTGGTTTGGCGAGGGCCCAGGATTGCTCCGAGTTTTGCTCAAGAATTTTATAAATATACGATCCAAAAAGTGTGCTATATCCACAAGCCCTGTATCTCCGGAAAGGTCGAGCACTTCCTTCCACGAGCCTTGGTAAGAAGGGTAACTGCTATTGTTCGTTCGCGTCGCCCTCCGTTGATCGGTCGCTCCGATAGTATTCGTAGGTAAAGGACTCCAAAAAAGCTGTTTCCTAATCGACGATGGCTCCAAAGGCTGCTTTGCTTTCCCAGTAATGAGGGGTGTCGCAATCTCGATCGCACCGGGTAGAGTTTTCCGCCGCTCTGGGCTGTGAATCGACAGCCTGCTACGTCGTCGCGCCCCATTTCTTTGCCCTCTACTCGAGTAATTATGCCGTAATCGTCGTCTGATCGGTCTTCCAGGAACCCAAGCGGGATCACCGGGTTCTTCGTCCGAGTAAGAGCACCTTTCCTCCGCACAGGTCACTCTGGAGGGTCGGATACACCCACTAGTGCTTAAACCCCCCCTTTCCTTTAGCTTCGCATGTGCGATGCTCGTAAGAATCTCGTTGTGCTTTTCCAGGCGATGATAGATAGAACTTAAAGGGCGCAGCATGCGATTTGCCCATTTCGCGGTTGGTCGTATGTCTTCCATGTTGCGCCAATCGTCTCACTGCTTCTCCTGAAGTACGCTAGTCAGTGTCGCGTTCGATATCCATTTCTAACCATAGCGTGGAGGTGGTTACCTGTGCCGCTGCGTCTAACGGAGCTCATTGATTGTCCATGTTATTGTCTACTTGCGACACGGGTTGCTCGAGGATGTCAAGACCTCCGGGGCATGTCGTATGAAGGTTAACTAGGGATTCGATGTATGACAGCCAAATATGATATAACCAAAAATATACAATGATTAGATGGCTCGTAAGCCTTTAAAATGCAACTGGTAGGGCTGGTCGGAGGAGTAGCTACTAGTATGATTATCGCCAACAGACGTAAACATTGGATAAATTGAGACTTCCCAGAGCGGTATAGCGCATATCACTAATGCAGCTGTCGGAACAACCATTTCTCCGTCCAGTTCAAGATTACATCATAACATGGAAGTTGGATAACTAACTATAAATGGGAATTATGATAGAAGTCCAGGAAGTGCATAATTTCATTATATATGCATTCATCGTCATATATGGTACATATAACACATCACAGATTAGCATGTATATCACTCGAGCTCGCTATGCGGGACTCGGTGGGGTTTGAATCATGCCAAAAAAAAAGGAAACAAATAACATGAAACACCGACTGGTGAAAGAGTAGAGAGGTTTCTAAAAGAAAATATATAAAGTATCCCGCTTATCCGACGTATCCCGCTCTTTTAAAATGACGTTCATATATAGTGGTCTTAACACAGTTAAGACATAGAAGTAAAATGTCAAGAAAGGGACCGGTGCATTTTTTTAACCAAACATGATAGGAATTATAGGTATGTTCAAGCTGATGACTTCTTCGAGCCACGAAGCTTGGGGTTGCTAGCGGCAGCACGCTTCTTCTGCTTGGACCGAGAAGAGCTGGTATCACCACCTTCGATGAACTTCAGCAACTCATCAATGCTTCGCGAGTCCAATGAAGGGTTGGCAGAGCTGGCTCCCGATGCGGAAGGTGCGGACTGGCCGACTTGAGGCTGGACCTTAGTACCAAGAGTGCGGGTGTTCATATTGATACGGCGCAGACGGCGGGCCTGGATGTCCTTGGCATGCTTGGCGATAGAGACAGCATTCTGGGTGAGCTGCTCCAGCCATGTCTCAGCTTCCTTAGTGTTGCGGTCATCAGGACCCAGTTGGCTAAGGAAGATGTTGTAGGCATCGCGCATCTTGCCAACAGCTCCCTTGGAGTCTTGGTCAAGAGCAAGAGCCTGTGCCAGCTGGAACAGAATAGTAGCAGTGTTGATGGATTGTTTGCCAAAGAGGGACTCGCACACAGTCAATGAAGCCTCGAACCACTTCCGAGAGTCTGAGTACTGCTTGAGGTGCTGCAGCATTACAGCGGCGTTGTTCATGGTGGTGATGGAATCGGGGTGGTTGGGTCCATAGATAATCTTCCACAGATCCATAGCGTGCTTAATATAAACCAAAGCAGTCTTGGTGTTTCCAGAGGCATGCTCAAACAGACTAAGGTTAAGGTAGCTCAAGATGGTGTCGGCCGAATCAACACCGAGAGTGCGCTCAGTAACGATAACAGCCTTCCGAGCCAGCTCGACAGCAGCTTCCTTCTCATCAGTCTGGTAGTAAAGCATGGACAGCTGGTGGTAGAGCTTGGCAACTTCTGGGTGGAGGATGCCGTAGATCTGCTCATGCAGGGACAGGGATTCCAGAATGAGCTCCTGGCCCAGCTGCTTCTGGTTCTGCATAAGGGAGATACGTCCAGCTTCCAGAGCCTCTTCAGCAAGGGAGCTCCGGGGCGAGGCATCCTTGACCAGAGGCACGATGTTGACAATGTCGTCAGGAACGATGGATACAGCAGGTTTCTCTGGAGAGGCAGCACGAGCCGGAGACTTGGAATCGCCGCCCTTCTTCTTCTTCTTTTTGCCGTCCTCTTGGCTGGGGCTGTTGGTAGCAGGAACCTTAGCGGGAAGTTGGGACTTCGCAAAAGCGTACTCGCGGGCGCTAAGCTGGAGACCAAGCTTGATGGAGACATCACGAAGAAGCTGCAGGTGTCGCAAAGAGTTGAACCACTCAGGCTCAGGGGTGAAACGATACCGGACAGAGACATGCTTCTCAATATCAGCCCGCAGAGTCGCCGGAGTAACCTTCTCGAAAGAGAAGTCAGCCTCTGGATAGATCTCCCGCAGAGATGCGTCGATATCAGCTTGAGGGTTCGAGTTGACATCAGCACCCAGGAGACAGTTCAGGAGGTGGGCAATGCAGGAGGCGGTAAATGGCGCAGCCACGTTGCGCAAGTAACTGTTGGCAATGTGCTTAAAGGCACGAGCAACCATTTCCTGGACAAGCAGGATGGTCAAAGCATCCAAACGGGCGCCCTTCTCCTTGGACATCTGAGCCAACTTGCCAAGGTAGCGGATGTTGATACCACGCTTGTGCAGAAGCTGGCTAAGAGACTGTCCATCCATAGGGAAGCCGACATCACCGTCGTGGAGATCCTGGATCAGCTCAGGCATCACCTTGGAACGGAGGAAGTCGCAAGTCTCACGGACCTCCTTCTCATCCTGGGCCCACTGCTCCTTTTCTTCGTCGGTCTGAGGGATCTGGCCACTGCAGACGTCAGGGTTCAATGCAAGAGAGAATCCAGAGATGTCAACCCGCTCCTGGTCCATTGCCTCCTCACTCTTCTCTTCGGAACCTTCCTCCTTCGATTCAGCCTTTTCTTCAGACTTCTCCTTAGAAGCAGCTTCCTCAGCCTTGGCGGCGCGACGGCGCTCAACCTCAGCCTTTACATACTGGCTCATCTTGTGCCTCCAGTAGGATTCAACAAGTTCCAATCTCAAAACTGCCATGTTATGAGGGTAGGCATCGCTTCCTTCTTCTTCCTGCCACGTGACATCCAAAGGAGTAACGCGGTAGAGGTCGAGCACATATTTTCTGCCGTCCGTACCAAGCAAACCCTTGGTCTCAACACTGCCTTCGAGATCATGACGCTTGCCGTCCTTATCCCAGACAGCGTGCTTTTTGATCCGGAGGGCCTTGGAGAGTTTTTCGAAGACAGGGGCAAAATCAGGGTGGGTAGCCACGACGTCCTTGCCTTCAACACCACCGTAGTCAATCTGGTGCTCACCAGGTTCGCGCTGCTTGAAGATACCAGGCACAATACTCTGGCCGACAATACGCTTTCCAAGGTAGTCCACGACGACAGTTCCGGGTGTGAACAGGCCGTTGATATCCAGCTGGTTGACCGCCTTAATTCCTACAACGTCCTTACCGACAGCTACGCGAGCAGCTTCGTCGCCGCCCTCGGAAGCGAAAGTTCCGACACCGTCAGCGCCGAAGGAGTAGAAGATGTTGTTGTACACAAAGATCTGAGCATCGCGACCCTCGGTGGGGTTGAGAGGAGCAACTTCACCCTTGGCGACCAGAACGGCACCGCGAGCCGCGGCCTCATTATAATCCGCGAATAGCTTCGAGGTCAAGCGCTCTCGGAAAACACGGTCCTGAACGGTGTCACGAGGCAACTCTCGCGTGGTCTGAAACTCCTCATTCCAGTCTCGCAAGGTTTCCGCGTTGTCGACACCAGAGATCAAGTAGTTCTCTTGTGACCGTGTGATATCAGGCTGGTGGGCATTCACACTCGACGAAGGAGGAGCAACGAGCCATGGGCTGTTCGGTATAGCGTTCTGGAAGGGGAAAGTAGTCAAAAGGTCCTTCTTGTTGTTGGCCTCCTGCAGCGCTTCGAAGGAGGCGTTGAAAGAAGGAGACAAGTGAGAGATCAGAGTTAGAAGAGAGTGGGCGCTGCCCTTCTTCGGCATGGGCTTGGGGAACGGATCGAACCTAGCATTAGAGCACTTGTTCACGAAGAAGCCAGAAACGTGAGAAGTGATCTGGAATTGCTCTCCCTCGTTGGTGGTGACCTGGAGGTAGAGCAGGTGACCCTTTTGGCGGAGATGGTAGGGGACAGGGTTCCATGGGGATAGCGAAATCGACTTGACGGTCTTGGGAAGAGGAGCCTCTGCTCTAGGGAGGATGGTGTTGAGAGACGGTGAGCCGGTAATGTCATATTTGGACAATGAGTGCTCCTTCTCCGCGGTCTCTCCGGCAGCGGCTTCCTCGGAGATGGAATCGTGCAGCGACAGACCGGCGCTGATACCCTGGAGGTTGTCGACACGGTCGCCTGCAGCTCCGACCAGCTCCCTCATTCGGATAACGTGCATGCGGGATTCTTTCTCGGTATATGGGTCTTCCACAAGGACGATTTCCGAATCAGCCTTCAAGTCGGGAACTTCAGACAGCTCGACAAAGTCATTGATGCGGCTGCCGTTGAACTCCAGGTGGAAGCAAGTATACTGGAAGGTGCTGGGAAGCTCGACAATTGACTGTCGGACATCCTGAACTTGCTCCTGGCTTGACACCTATGGAGGGACAGAACAGTTAGGCAATCTGTTAAATGTCTGCGATCATTTCGATGTTAACTGGTTTCAAACACCCACCATCACCTGGATCTTATAAGGCTCGTGAGGAAGCTTCACAGAGATCTGGAAAAGGCCTTTCAATTCGGAGGACTGGTGTTAGTCTTCCAATGATAACAAATGTATCCCAGTTGTGACGTGGCATACCTCCATTCTGCTCCTCTTCCTGAGCTCCCTCGGGGTGGTTTCCGTTGGTAAGTTGTTCCGGAGTCTCTGCTATGGCGGTTAATTTATCGCACTCTCCGCGCTGTGAATTTTGAAGATCACAAATGTGCACATACCTTTCGAGTGCTCCAACTCTCCATTGGTCTGGGCCATTATGATCGATGCTTTGGTAATAAGGGTAGGTTTCAAAAGAAAATATAAGGCTAAAAGCTGAAGCTACAACCTGACGGAACGTCTCGAGCTTCAGACCCGGCTGGGGAAAGGAATTAGGGAAAAGAGGAAAAAGGCGTCGGGGAAGAATGTAGAATGAAAATAGGAAATCAAAAAAGGTATGATATACAAGTACAAGGGTAATTGAATATAGTAAAAACAAACCCCGTACCCAGACGAATGAAGGGAAACAGAACAATACCCCAAATATGGAAAATAAGGACAGGATGCAAAAAGGTTGAAGCTGGAGAAAGCAATGGGGAAGCCGGGCAAAGAGAAAATTTCGCGCGGAATACCCTCGGAAGTGCTCGGGGCGGAGGAATGGGTATGGTAATAGGAATTACCTTGGGAAAGTTGTGCAGGTAAAAAAAAAAAAAGGGAAAAAAAAGTATCAAGATCTCCACACATACATTTCAATTGACCCCAAATTAAACCATATCCACTCTTGGAACAGAGTATCTTTCTCATGAATAATGTAATTTATCAATTGACTCTCTGGTTCATTTCTCTTGGGGTGCCACGTTATGTAGTCAAGTCCTACACCTATACTCTGTAGGATGGGCACAAATCCCAAGTAGGGCTGTGGATGGTATGTATCTTACGCGTGAACTGTGTCTTCTATCAATTGGTCTAAAGTACCCCATATACTCCTCTCTGCCTACTAGTGATATTTATAGATCCCTCTATTCTCGCCTTGAGTCATTCGAAATGCCCCTCGAGGTACCTGGTGTAGGTACTAGAAGTATGTACGGTGCCTTCAGGGTAAGTAGTAGAAGTATCTAGGTCAGGTATATCAATTGTTGAAGGACATACATTCATACAACGGCTGTCACGATGTACGCCGTCTTAACATGTTTTAACTCTTTTCTTCTCTTCGATGAAGGTTTTCCGCTTGATTTACCGACACTTCGGCAGAGTTACCGGACCTCAAAGTCAGCCACACTTCCCAACAAATTAGAGCCGTGCAAAGCCACAGTCCATCTCCATGCGATCGGGGGCGCAGCACCGGAGAATATCTTTGTCTGGAAATTGAAAGATTGGGTCCAAGCTTCCACCTCACCTTCTTTTTGTGTGGTGCTGTCTTTCCTTTTTATTCAATACCCACTGTCCGACTCTCGTTTATCCTCATCTTTCTTTGAGGCTCTTTGCTGGGATTCAATCGGTGTTGATTTTTCACTCGCCAGTTCTCCTTTTCATGTATCCACTACGTCATCAATCTTTCCCCTATCACTATAGTCGACGCGCGTAATTTCCTTACAATCTTTGGGACCTCCAGTTTTATCTACCGCTGACGTCTGTAATCGTTTTTATTTACTTTCTTCTCTTAAAAAGAATATCCATTGCATTGATACAATCCGTGGCGTTCGTTTAATCTACGGTGTATATGAGCGATGCCGGCGTACCGACATGTTCCACGATCCCTGCCAATATTCTCTTCGGGCCGCCTTAGCCTGTCGAGACCGCTGAGAGCCATTGGAGTAGCTCCATATAAATCGGGAATGCATTTCTCACAGGGCTCATTCCAAGCTGCCCCAAACCCCCTGGAGCAAGATGCAGGAGATGACGGAGCCCGACCCAACGGCAACGACTCAGAGCCAACTTTCAGATCTACGGTCCTAAAAATGATGGAGACCGCCGCCACCACTTTTGCTTCTATTGCCGTTCTAGGGTATGCTGCCTAGCGGCCTCCCATGCTGCGCTTGGTTGCTTACTGACGACGTTCCAGTATTGCGGGCTACTCGTATCACCGGTACTACAAGTATCTGATTTTGGAAAAGATGGAAAATGCCTTCAAGCCGGGCGATCCAGCACTCGAAGTTGCGGGTGTAGAATCTGGCAAACATCAGTACCACCATGAGGAGCACTGGGTTGTCCGCGACGAACAACCCAGGATTGATCGAATCATTGCTGGTGGCGCCGGTGGCCGTTATTTCCTGCTCATTGGTGAGAAGGGCACTGGAAAGACGTCTATGCTCCTTGAGGCGATGCGCAAGATCGATGGGGAGGGTTGCGCTATGTTTGAAGCACATGGTGATCTTGAAATTTTCCGAACCAGGCTAGGGAAAGCGTTGGACTTTGAGTTCCACGAAGAGTAGGTTACTTTATGGTCCTTCTTTCTGCAACTACTGACAGATGGTGTCAGCTATATTGGAAGTCTTTTTAGCATTAAGGGTCCTCGAGATACCACCCCTCTCTTGGACATCGAGCGCGCATTCAACAAGTTAGAGAAGGTGGCTCTTATGCGTAGACGTGAAGGATTGCCAGCCTTGATATTGATCATTAATAGTACTCATCTGGTCAGGGATGATCATGATGGTCAGGATCTCCTGGAAATGATTCAACAGAGAGCGGAACAATGGGCGGCTAGCAACTTGGTGACGACAGGTAAACTGCACTCCCTCTTTTTGCTTCTAATATAGACCCTGACAATATCAAAATTGCAGTCCTCAACAGTGATGATTACTGGGTATATGAACGCCTCAAGCGATATGCCACCAGGATGGAAGTCATCCCTGTTTCGGATCTACCCAAGCAACGAGCGATGGACGCTCTACGGAGATATCGCAAACAGTACTTTGGTGAGGAACTATCTCACGAAATACTTGAGGAAATCTACAACAAAGTTGGTGGACGTTTGTCCTTCCTGAACCGGGTGGCAAAGGCCAAAGATTATATGAAACTCTGTGATGGCATATGTGAGGCCGAGAAGAGATGGTTCCTTAATAAATGCTGGATCCTTGGACCGGAAATGGACGACGACGTCATGGATGAGCAGAAGTACTCTGTAAGTACCATAAGTGCCTCGGGTTACCATGAAAACACTCTAACCAAAGATGATGACAGTCTGCCGCGATGGTTCTCGCCAAAGCGCTTGTCGACAGGGAGAAGGAGATGGAGAAAACATATGACCCGGAGATTGGCCATATTCTACCACAGATACCGCTGCATAAGGCGCGGGAAGTTATGACAAGAGCGGACTTTATCCAAAGTTACGACCATGACAACATCTTTACGATCGATTCTCGGGCTATGGTCCGAGCTGATTCCGTTCCTATGCAGAATGCTTTCCGAGACATCTGTGCTTGGGAGGGATTTGACAAGCATCTGGAGGGAACATTGGAGCGTATTGGTGATATTGAGAGTCTTGGACGAACCCGTGAGCTCACCATCAAAGATCTCTGGAACCAGGGTAAATACCAGCTTGCTATGCGGGATTCCAAGGGTCACGACAATGGTGTTGTTGAGTTCTCGGTGGTGGAGGGCCAGAAAGAGGATGAGGACGACTGATTGAAGCATAGAAAGGCGAGGTCAGAGTTGAAACCTATCATCAACTTTTGAAAAACAATGTAATTGCCGGCTCTACTCCTTAACATGTTCTGTGACATAGTAATTCTTGTATGTATCTTTGCTCTACGCCCAACCCTATGATATCACAGACTACTACTAGTACTAGTAGAAGACAGGGTCCTAAGTGTTCTGATTGGTTGGGTGCATCAGGGAAGCAGTGACATCATCACATGCTCACCGCTCGCCAGAAAATCGGCCCAGCTCCATGAATATGAATATAATCTACTTCTACAACGAATTTCTTCAGCTTACCATTGTGTGCTCTACTCCGGCTCCTTCCTTGATCAAATTACAAGCTCGCTGGATTTGGTACTGCTAACACAAAATACCCAACCATGACCCCTCGCAAGAAGGATGTCTTATCTGCTGTAACGGCGACTGCAGATAATGCAGACAAGCCGGCAAACGAATTGCGCCAGAAGACTCAGTTGGAACGGGTTCCCCAGTCAGCGCGCTTTGTGTTGGTCGTCCTCAGTAGCCTGGCACTGAGTGCTGGATTCTTCAGTTTCACATCTGGAGCTACCCTTGGCGAACTGGGCGGCGTGAGCAGACATCTCGAGGCATGGTGGGAAGTGGGGGGTTTGACGGCTTGGAAGGCTGTAGAGGTTGGGTTAGCCTGGATCTTGGGCTTTGATGGTGAGCTCATTTTACTTTCGAACTGCTTACATTTCTATGTTCAAAGAGGGCTGACAAACTCCTGCAGGACGAGATGTGTCATCATTCATATTTCTTACCCACCTCCCCACCTACGCACTCCTAGCATCTTTCTACAACATCCGCCCCACCACGGTTTTGATCTCCTATGCGATCATCTTATTCTCGACCTCAGTCCCCTTTGTACTCCTGCGCAAACCGACTTGCGTGCACGACCTGTCGCATGCTCCTTCTGACGCAGTCCGCAACCGCTCCATCCTTCAGGATCGCGCGACAACCATTTACACCACTATCGCCGCAACATCAATTCTGACTGTCGTTCTATACCTAAGCTATGCGACCTGGCTCCCAACACGACTTGTCCTCCACTTCGAAAACATCCCCGACATTAGCGCCGTTCACGCCGGTCCCGCGGGTCTGCCAACCCTCTTCCTCGCTCTCCTCCCAGCCGGCTGGGCGGCGAGAGATCTCCTTTTCGTTAGTTCCACTGGCGCGGCCCCGCCTAAGAGGGTCGAATCGATCGAGAAGAAATCCACATCGCACGAGGGCGAGTACCTCGCCTGTGCAGTTTATCGGAAGACCTGGGGAGCACTCTCGCCTAAGACGAGAGTTCTTATCTCGCGAACAGTACTTCTCGCAGCCATGCTGCTCAGTAACACCATTGTCCAGTTGGCAGGAACCATTGAAGGAATTAAAATCGAGGGTGCGTCAGCTTGGGGTTCAATCTGGGCTGTCGCGATTTTGGCTGTTGGAGCGACATTTGGTTGGATTGAGGCAGTTGATGGGGTATGATTGCTCGGTTGATGAACTCGGGATTGGTAGTATGAAATGTGACCACGATGAAAAGCGCTTTCTTTATGTTTCCCCCCTTATGACCTGGGACGGATGAAACACTGTCATGACCTTTTCACCTTTATCCTTCGGAATGATGTTTAGCTTCGGCGCTTCAGGTTATATCCGATCCTATTCTCTTCTGTTTCCTCCTTTTCTCTTCTCTTCTCGTTACTCGTACCTTATCATTTTGTATCTCTAGCTGTTATATCGAGCGTTTTTTTGGTGAACGAGCTTTCACGAAATTGACCTGAAAGTATACGCTGAACAGGTTTCTTATTCAATTATATATTGAAACATTATATTCGTTATCTTTGAAGACCAACGATTTAGAATCTAAGCACTCGCTATACAGAAAAGCAACAATGCCGACTCCAACCAAAGAAAAAAGAACGGACAAAAGGAATGCAATACTTCACCGAAGTTCAGTAGTATGGCCATAACCATCCTCAGACATAATCTCCCGGTCATACTGCATAGCCTTGGTACTCGGCATCAACCAGCCGGGATGGAAGATATTAAAGACGCCAACAGAAGCCACCATCATCGCGCCATCAAGCGCAATGAAGTACTTCTCCCGGGTAATCAGATACCCGGTCCAACCTTGCGACAACTCTATGGTACGGTAGATGCTTCGGACGTAAATACAAAGCACGGAGAATACCATGGCGGCGAACAGGGGGGTGATGGATCCGCTCATGTTCTGCAGAAGACGACGACGGAGGACGCGGCGGACAAAATCGGCGGCGCAGGCGACAAAGATGGTGATCGAGAACAGTTGGAAGACGATACCGGCGACCATAATGTGGGTGCCGGGGGCTGTGTCGCCGTCTTCCTTGTTTGTTTCGGCGGAGGCGATGCCGCCGCCGATGGCTTGGATGACGAGCGAGATGATGTCGCAGGTGCAGAAGATCCAGAGGTACATTTTCGGGCTGAGGATGGAGGAGTCGCGGCCGAGGATTTGGATGAAGCGGCCGAGGAGGACGTAGATGCCTGCTGTGAAGAAGGTGGGAGCTAGATTGGCTGGTTAGTGCCTTTTCTTATCCTCGAAGATCGGCAAATTGGTGGGAGTTCTGTTTTTTCTTTGGTTGCTTACCGATGATTAGGGTGGAGATTTGCATCAGGAAGGCTGTCATGTTATAGGGACATTCTGAGGACCAGGTACGTCCGGCCCAGCCTAGGACCTCCGCTGTGTTGGTTTAACGTCAGTACACTATCCGGGTCATCGGAGACTGGAACGTTACGCACTCAGACAACCAATACTGAAGACAGCACACCACCAGGTTCTTTTCCAGGTAAACTGGATTGTGTGAACAATCATCGAGAGACCAAAGAGAACGAGGAAGACGACGCCTGCAGCCAGCGACGGCTGATAGCCGTACGCAGTATCCATGCCATCTATGAGGGGATGGCAGCTCGTGGAGAGCCATTTTTTGAATTCAAACTCTTGATCGGCCGACATCATCAAGACAATTGGGGGGGGGGGGGGGATCTGGCAGTTTGTAGGGTGTAGTTGGCCCGGTTCCAATGGCAATGCAAGCGTAGCTGATCACAGGCAGTTGTATTATTAAGTTGAGAGAGACTGATGCGAAAAGCACAATATCTTATATCCGAATGAACGACAAAGCAGCGCCCAGATTATACATGGGACCACTATAGAAACACGTCAAGAATCAAGTAAACGAGTGGCTGAGCAAGAAGCCCATTTAGTATGGATTACAAGGCAGAAAAAAAACGAGACAAGTCACACAGGATATATCTTTTTGTCGTGAAAATCCTCAAATTCTTACAGGGCCATAGACTCAAAATCGGGATCCGGATGGATCCAATAACTCGCGCTCGCATTTGATGTAACAGTGGAATACGGCGGGGACACCCGTTGCAAGACTCATTCTGATTGAACCCCGTGGATAATCACTTTATTCGGGCCGCGACTTCATTCGGCAAATTGGTCGAAGGCTCCAACGTACTCTGTTCGGAGTTCGGCCCTGGGCCTGAAAGTACTCGCAAGGTCCGCCAAATTGGGTTTAGGGCATCTCGTAACAGTTTCATGAGAGTATCGGAGATAAATCCGGTAGACTGTGCTTCTCCAGTCATGTTGGAGAATGTTAGGATCGTGGCGCTTTATGCCGATAGAGCCAGGCGTGTAACTGAGGCTGAATCACGTAGGCCACAGCTTTGTCTCCTCGACGGTGCTGGGCATTCGCCATTGATCCTGATAGTTTCATAGTACACTGCTCCCCAGTCTTGGCAGGTGCGAAGCTTTCATTAGAGCTTGGCAGAGAAGAAGGTATCTCATCTGGATCATCGTATCCATAGTTAAGTCCCTGTGGTTTAGTAAAGCGAAGGTGTGTTTGCATATGTACATCATGTTGAGATAATGGCAGAAGGATGTCCGCATGGTCGATGCTGGAATTCGACGGATTCAGATGTGGGCCTGAGGCGTTGTATGTCTTGGCAGAAGATTCTCGGTCTAACCGGATTAGGAGAACCTTGAGACCAACCTCTTGAACTTTCTTGAGGTTGAAGAACGAGTTTGCGTCAGCCAATCCCACCCTGCAATAGAACTACCACTTCATGCTATTTACACGTGGGCTGCGCGTGGTATAAGACTTATTGAATGCGAATGTTGGTGGGGTGTTCGTCAAAACGTTTTGAATCAGTGTGCCTTGGCTCTTTCCTGACGTCTGAGGGTCCGGGAATGACGATAGGCCTGCGATCTAGAAGTACTGCAGTGGTTGATATCAGTCAGAATCTTGATCTTCCGGTTGACGAAGAAGAGATGTACCCAAAGCCATTTCATTGAACACTTAAGGACCGGCATAAACTGTGCATCTGCAAGCGCCTGAATATCTAGGAGGCCTGTTGTCAGATCAGAAAGGGCGGATCGGCTGAAAGTCCAGCGGTCGGGAGAACTTCAAGTTGTATTTATACAAACTCACAACAAACCATCTATCATCCTTCTAACCGCACAACTGCTACCAAGATTGGTACCTGTTTTTATGCCACAATACATACTAGATAACGAGGGGTCCAAGGTTCTGTCGTCCATATGCAAAGCTGTGAGACACCTGACCTTTAGAAGCCCCACCCGCTGCTGTATATGTATACTAACTTAAGCAGTGAATCTCATCATCTGGTATCAACTAGTTCTCCTGCGTCGCTGAAACTGCTCATGATCCGTTTATAGGTTCACTGGCAAACGCACAGGTCGCACCCATACGAGTCCTGAAACGACAAGAGGGACGGAGAAAAAAGGATTCAAGATGCTGACAACGGACTTGAATTGGATGCACTGCTGCGAGAGTAAAAAGGCGAAGAATCAAGAGTTTATGGTTTATGGCCGACATGGTGACAGAAAAGATCCCTCTTCCTAATCAAAGCCTGCATTGATTACGGCGTCAATTGCCATAATAGCATCCTCGGAATTCTGAAACCGGGTGCTGATTCTAGGTGTGTTGATTCCTAGATTTCGACCGACCATGGCATCACTCAATCAACTTCTTGTAAGTCATGATCTTTGGACAGAGACGAAATGCTTCTAGAAGCTATGAGGAGGGGATGGCTTTCGGGTGGCCATCTTATAGTGGTCGTTGAACCTTTCGCCCGGTTAATGTGCTTGGTTTCTGTTGCTGTGATCACTATAGCTGTGGAGATTTCTCTCATAGATTGATCGATTCCCGCTTGAGCAGACGTCGGTTGGTTTGTATCTAATAAGTGATCTGCTTTTTTGAACTCGCTAAGGCTGTGGGAAGAGCGTAGCGCATCTGGATGATCGGGCCCTAATACACTATTTCGAAGAGCAACACATTCTTCCATCAAAGCCAACGCATCTCTAACCTTCTGTCGAGATTTCCAAGTATGGGCTAGATCATGCATAGCAGCCAATGTGTCTGGATGCTCTGGCCCCAGTACACACTTGCGGGTCTCTAAGATGTGAAACTTCAGCTCCTCTGCATCCTTCCACCGCCGTTGATGCCAGTATATGTGCGCTAGCCAGACCATATTGCTCACAGTCTCAGGGCGCTGGGGCCCTAGCACGCGCTTGCAGGTTTCCACCAGGTTGAAATATATCTCCTCTGCATCCCTCCATCGTCTCTGGTCATAATATGTAGATGCTAGCCATGCCAAACTGTGAAGTGTGTCTAGATGCTCTGGCCCGAACACCTGCTTCCGGATCTTTATCAACGTCAGTAACAGATCCTCGGATTCCTTCCACCGCCTCTGATCCCGGTATACCAACGCCAGGATGCCCATGCTTGCCAATGTGTCAGGATGTTTTTCACCAAGAATAATTTTTCGCGCCTCTACTACCCGTGCCCCTAGTTCTTCTGCCTCGCTCCATCTTTCCTGTGCATCGTATATGAGCGCCATATTGTTCATGGCAGTCACTGTGTCGGGATGGTCTGAACCTAGCACCCGCTTACGGAGCTTTATAACTTGTAGCTCAAGCTCTTCCGCTTCTTTCCAACGCATCTGTTGCCGGTATACAGACGCTAGGTTGTTCATGCTCGTTAGAGTATCAGCATGTTCTGGCCCCAGAGTCTCCTTGAGGGCTGTCAGCGCCTGTATCTGTAGTTCTTCTGATTCTTCCTGTCGACCCTGTTCATGGTATGTGCATGCTAAGTCAGACATACTGGCCAGAGTATCAGGATTCTTTGGTCCTAGAACTCTCCTACTAGCCGCCAGTACGTGTACTTGTAGTTCTTCTGCGTCCTTCCTTCGGCCCTGCTTCATGTATATCCACGCAAGTCTGGCCATACTATCAAGAGTAGAAGTATTTTCCCGTCCTAGGATCTGTACGTTGATGTCCATTGCCCGTAACGCTGGGTCTTCTGCTTCACCATATCTTCCATCCCGATACAGGCACATTCCGATCCTTTCAAGTAACGTAGCATATATTTTCTGCTGTTTCCAGAACTCACTTTGACTAATCAAGGCGACAGCGTGAGGTAGATACTGTCTCCACAGCGTGCGATTAGTATGATCTTCAGTTGGAAAGACATGACTGAGCTGGTCTGCGGTTTTCTTAATATACGGGTCAAGCTGCCGGTTGTTTCTCATCCAATTTCGAGTTGCATAATATACGAGTCGATGGAGACTCAGGCAGCCCTCGGCCTGTTCATTTATGAATGAGAACGCTTTAAGAAGGCCGATTGCTTCAATTTTCTTCCTTTTTGATATGGCCGAAGGAAGCAATGACTGTGGGATGTCGCGAGGGCTTATACATGCCATAAATGAGAGATAATCCGCTGCTAACTGGTTTAAACTCTGTATCTGTTGAAATGAGATTAACCAGGTAGTAGCAACAGGATTCGCGTATTTTTCTTTCTCCCCATCTCCAAAGTCTTCACTCAGCAGCTCAATCACCTCTGGCTCCGGTTCCTGCAGAAGCGTAACATATTCCGTAAATCCAATATCATTTTCATTGATATATGCTGCTGCCTGGCTATTGCCAGAGGAAGAAAGGCCAGCTGTTCGATCAGAGTCTTGGTCGCATCACTATCATCAAGTAAGTCTTTCTTAATCAATAGATTGTCAAGGATTTTCGTGGCAGTTTCTATATTGGGCTCAGAAATATCTACCACATTAGACGATGCCAGCTTTACAGCTAGCTTTCGATTTCGAGTCGTGAATAGAATACGGCCTTGATCACTCTGAGGTAAGAAATCGACCAGAACTGGGTTAGGGTTACTGGTGCAGCTTTGGATCCACATATCTATATCATCCGCATTATCGAAGATTAGAAGCCACCGTCCCGTTCTCTGGCTAAGATAAGCCTTCACACTGTTTTTCGCCTCTGCAGGCTTTGCATTGTGAATTCCTAGTATTTGTGCCAGAGTCATGTAGGCTTGTTCCACAATTTCGTGGCTCGTACATGGAATCCAGAAGACTGAGTAATCTGAGTGCCTGTTCTGTAAACGATATGCCAATTCAAGTGCAATTTGGGTCTTTCCAACTCCGCCTAACCCACAGATCGCAATCCTAGACGGCCCTTGCGATTTCTCTATCCATCGCTCAAGTTCTGCAATCTCGGACTCACGACCTATGAAACGTAGGTTCTTCCTGAATGGGACCATCCAGGCTTTTCCCTTGATTTTGCGTACCTCCAGGTTGTGGTGGTGGACTGGAACCACGGATAAGAGAACCTTAGCATAGGCAGCAGCCACAATGGCGGCATAGCCTTGCCAACTTTTGTTCTTATGAGAGTCACAGTAATCACAGATACCGCGAATCACAAGAGACGGTAGCTGGTCCATTAGACCGGCCGCCTCCATTTCAAAACAGAGAACACCTATGCCACTCTCTTGCGCAATGATATCGCGGGTAGTAGCATCCTTCATAACCTTATCTCCCGAAGCGATTAAGCCGTAATGGATATATGGGTCATCCATAGGTCTTGGGTTACGAGCTATTATCTTGCCACGATCACAATTGGAACAGTCTATGGCGCCGGTCTGATGGTTATATTGGGCATTAAACAATAGATCTTCTTGTGGTCGGGAGAATTGTTCCTGCATTGCTTGATTTTTGAGCAAGGTACTCGATACTATGCCGTGAACTGGTCGATTCCCCATTATATCGTCGCTCTGCATCTGAGAGATGGCGGTTAATAGAACCCGGGGAGGTTTGTTGAGAGAGCCTGTGCGCTGGAAACGTCCATTGTGCATAGATTTGCCGTAATCATACTGTATCACGCCACAGGAAGTAGGCGTTGGCTTGCTTACTACAACATCGCCGAGACGAATATCAGTCCCAGTACTAGGAACACCCCCTCCGATTCCAACCATCAATCCGAACTGGATTCTTGGGAAGGTGGAACACAGCTGAGATATTACCGTTGAGGCGGCTATTGTTCCATACACACCGGACGGTAAACAGGCCACCACAATATTATGACCGGTAATACTTCCGAGGGTATAACTATTATAATCATTTTCTGCCTGTGGCAATAAAGGGTGTAATGTATCCAGCATAGCCTTCGCAGCAGTCATTTCCAGTGGCAGGGCACAGATCCACGCGACCGTATAATCATCATGCGTGAGGCGCATTTTTCCCGTGTCTGGATGATCACATACACACAACTGTATCAAGTATGGTTAACGATTTGTGAGGAGGAAGTAGGGAAAGTAATATTAAGACGTAACGGAGGCAAGGCTGAAAAAGAATATGACTACGTACTAAAAAAATAGTAGTAGAGGGGTAAGTCGAAGGCCAATCACAAGGTCGAGAAGCAATCGGCTAAGATTGGAACACGCACTCATTTCGAATCTATACGAAAAGTGGGCACGTGGCTGCTCCTGACTTCAAATTATCAACATCCTCTTTCCAATGTAACCAACTACTACCAAGTAGATCGATCATGCGATAGTGAAGTTATTCGAATGTATTTGGTGTGGCTATGTAACCCTGCTTGTTCCTCTAGACCGTGGACTCATTTAAATCGTGGCATCTCATACATATCATCAGGGTCTACGCTGAATTAGCCAGGGGAAATCAAACTCAGACAATGAAGAGTCAACTTACCCTTGCAGTTTGCATAAATATACTTCCGTGTCTCAACAATGTTGTGGTCCAACTCTGTGCTCAGCTCCTGCTCACGGAGTCGGACCTTCTCGTTTCGCTTCGCCGCTCCTTTAATGGCAGCCTGAGCCACATGGAAGCGTGAGGTCTTGTTCACGAGCATCATATCAAACGGCGTCGTGGTGCTTCCCTCCTCGATGTACCCAGCAATGCTCACACGCTCTAGACGGGGCCGGCCGAAAAGCAGACCTTGCAACTCGGTCACGTATCCGTGATAGTTGAAATGGATTGGTTTGTCGGAGGTGAAAAGGTTATCAAAGGACTCGGTTGTCAAAGCATGCGGGTGTGCTCCTTCATTCTCCAAGATCATTAAGTCTGTCACGTTGATCACCCGAACGCGAAGTTCAGGGCAGCGCTGGCGCAGAATTGCAGCGGCGTAGATGACTTCAAACATCACTTCAACTCCGACTCCCACAAGAACAACATCTGGATCGAGTCCGTCATTTGTACTGCAGAATTTCCAGATCGATGTGCCAGCTCTGCAGTGGCTTTCGGCTTCTTCGGGTGATAAGTAAACGGGTGTCGGCTGCTTCGAGCCAACCATGAGGTTGATGTAATTCTTGGATTTCAAGCAATGGTGAACGGTCGTCAAGAAAGTATTGGCATCTGGTGGTAGGTAAACACGCGCAGCATTAGGCTTCAGCTTGAGAACGTTTCCAATGAATGATGGGTTCTGGTGAGAGAAGCCATTGTGTTCCTGTCGGGTCCAGGTACTAGTCTCGATATAGTTGATGCTAGCTACATCTTTGTGCCACCCTGTTTCTCGGGCCTAATTGTTTATCGCTCTGGTTAAGGAGAATCAATCAATTGGATATAGAGAAGGGGTACGTACCATCTTCATGAACTTAGCGTATTGCACCATCATGGTGTGGACAATACCCAAGAAGCTTTCGTAGGAAGGAAAGAGGCCCACACGCCCGGTCAAAGTGTAGCCCTGAAGAAAACCTTGACACATATGTTCACTCAGCACTTCAATAACACGACTACCCTTCGCATTGGAGTACTGGTCCCATTGGAAGTTCCGTCCAGTATGCGCGAGAGCGGCATCTAGCTTATTACTCTCTAACTCATCCGGCGAGAACAGCCGGACACTGTGTGGGTTTTGGGTGAAGACTTTATCTATGAATTTCCCAATTGTCTTCATCGAGCTTTCTTGTGCGCCCTTCTCCACACAGAAAGTCTTCCAATCTGGAAGATTAGGTGGCTCGTATGCTTTGTATGCCTCGAAACGTTGACCGAGCTTCTTGGAGTCATCCGAGGGAATGATCGACTTGACATCATCAATAACATCTCCTGTCTCGGTGAAGAGCTCATGTGGGTTGTATGAAGATAGCCAATTCTGGAGTGCCTGAAGTTCTTCTTTGTCCTTCTTTGCATTAGGCAAAGGAACCTGGTGAGAATGGAACGACCCTTCGATGAATTGGCCGTGTAGCTCCTTGGGCCCCGACCAACCCTTAGGTGTGCGCATCACGATCATGGGCCACCGGGGTTTCATGATCGGCTTTCCACAGCGAGCTGCTTGCTGGATCTTATGGATTTCCCCAACCGCCCAATTCATGGAGTAATGGAGATCAGTATCAATATCGCCTAGATTCTCAACAATGCGCACTTGGTAACCATATCCTGTGAAAAGGGAGATCAACTCCTTGTTGTCCATGCAGCCAAAGATGGTGCGCTCGCTGATTTTGAACCCATTGACATGCAGAATTGGTAAGACTGCTCCTGACTCTGCGGGATCAATGTACTTGATTGCATGCCAGGAACTGTTTCTGTCAGTAAAAAACTTGACCCAGGTAGATCATTCCAGAACTCACGTTGCTGTTGGACCGGTTTCTGCTTCTCCATCACCGACCACGCAAGTGGCAATGAGATCCGGATTATCCATAACTGCACCAAAGGATACAGCTAATGCATAACCTAACTCGCCGCCTTCATGGATAGCTCCTGGGGTTTCGGCATTAATATGGCTGAACAGAAACAGTTAGCTTAAGCTCGGCATACTAAATCACCAAGGAAAGTCTCACCTTGGCAGACCGCCAGAGGTACTAAAAGTCGAGATGAGATTCTTGAGACCTTCATTGTCTCGAGCATATTGTGGGTAGAACTTCCCCAATGAACCCTCCAGCCATAGCGAAGCAAGTAGGCCCGGTGCTCCGTGCCCCGGCCCGACGACATACAGCATGTCCAGGTCTTGCTTCCTAACGATGTAGTTCAAATGGGAGTATACGAGGATAAGCCCGGGACATGTTCCCCAGTGGCCTGAAAATATAGTATTGAATTAGCGAAGATGCTCCTATCCCAGATGATGTATGCAGAGCTTCAGAGGATCTCACCAAGTAGTCGAGGCTTGATGTCATCATGTTTTAGATCCCGCTTCAATAACACATTGTCCTGCAGAAAAATCATTGCTAGAGAACATAAGCGGGTGGTCTTAGAAAATAGAAGTATACAATCTCACCTGCTGCAATGTAAGCAGCTGCTCGGCGAAATTTCAATAAAGCATCGGAGGTAGATGGATCTAAGGAAGCCTGGTCGAGCTGGACTTGCAGCTGTTCAACGACATCTGGGATGTGCGACGGCTCCGCCTTAGGGTTTGGCCTGTCGATAATCTCTCCCGGCATTGCTAGTGATCCGTAGAGATGTTAGATGTATTCAATGTGTGGAAATTGCTTGTTTGGTATAAAGTTCGTTGATAGTGTGGATCGCGCCAAGGGATCAATAGATAGGTATGGAGAATGGAACTGTAAATTCTCGGGATGATGCCACAAGTTCTAATGATTTTCCTGGTGGTTTTAGACGCAGAGAAAAGGATAGATTCCACAATCCCAGCCTTAAAGTATAAATCCTTGGATTAGACGGGCCCAGAATCTCGTAGGGTTAACCGGAAATATATTTCGAGGCGGTAGTTCCAGGTCCATGATGTCGGATCTCCAACTACGTCACCATGCAAGTCCTTTGACATCACCGGCTGCATCCCAACAGGGAAGTTGACCCACCACAACGAACAAATGAATGGTCCCTTTCAGTTGTAAATTATGAAATAGAGGGGCATCATGAGCCAGAAGCCGATTACTTATTTCCCTTCCTATCAGTCTAGAAGCTGGTGGATATGGCATGTCTCGGCTCACCGAACCCTCCCTAGTATTCAGTCGCTTCCAACATGACATGCAAATCTATTCTCTCGGTTAATGCCGGATCGTCCTCGGTGAAGATTACCTTCTACACCTTTGAGCAGCCTCCAAAGGTCGTCGCCAATGCACAGATTTCGGGGATCACAGCTCCTCCGGCAACACTGAAATACACTCGAGGATCGACGAACCACAAGGAGCAGCTCAAGGAGAATTTGAGCACGCCGCAGGATGCTTTCAAGCTCCTTCTGCAGAGGTGTTTCTCTGATCCAAGCCTATCCGAAGTTACTAGCAGTGATGATCTGGCATTCATTTGCCATCGGGTTGTTCATGGAGGAGACTATGAGCGATCGGTAGTGATCACCAATGAAACCTATCACCACTTGGAGAAACTCGAGGATCTAGCCCCACTGTATGTAGCGTTCATGCTCCTTCGATCAGGATACATATCTGACTGGAGACAGACACAACTTCTCTGCTTTGGAGATCATCCGACTCTGTAGAAAGGAACTGCCTTCGGTGAAAAGTATCACATTCTTTGACTCTGCCTTCCACCAGACTCTGCCCGACTATGTAAAGACGTACCCAATTAACCAGGATACCGCGAAGGCAAATGGTCTCCGGAAATACGGGTTTCATGGCATTAGTTATTCCTTCATCCTTCGCTCGGTAGCTCAGTTTCTCGGAAAGCCAGTGGAACAGACTAACGTGATTGCCATGCATATTGGAAGCGGTGCTTCTGTATGCGCGATCAAGAAGGGCAAGTCCATTGACACTTCGTAAGAATGATCTTCGTCCATTATGATGAAGACGTGCTGACAATTCTTCTCAGAATGGGCCTTACACCTTTGGCTGGCTTACCAGGCGCCACCCGTAGTGGTGATATTGACCCATCGTGAGTATCATCGGAAAGTTAGCTCTTAACTAAAATGGCTAATGTGTGTTTGGCAGGCTTGTGTTTCATTACACCAGCGAGGCAGGAAAGCTGAGCCCTGCGAGCACTAAAGAAATGCATATCAGCACGGTAGGTCCCTGAGACTGGTTGGCAGAAGCAAACGGCTAGCTGACTTAGATCCATCCAGGCTGAAGAAATCCTTAACAAGAAATCCGGATGGAAAGCTCTCACTGGAACTACAGATTTTGCCCAGATAGCCGTTGAGAATCCTCCAAGTCCGGAGCATAAGCTTGCTTTCGACATTCTCGTCGACCGTATTCTGGGATATATAGGTAATTACTTTGTCAAGTTAGAAGGAAAAGTTGATGCACTCGTTTTCGCCGGCGGAATCGGTGAGAAGAGTGCCTTACTGAGGAAAACTGTCGTCGAGAAATGCCAGTGCCTGGGGGTAGCTATTGATGCATCAGCTAATGATAAAGGGCCGTCCGACGACCAAACGGTGATGGATATCTCCGATGTAGATGATAGTGGACCGCGCGTAATGGTCTGCCAGACAGATGAGCAGGTGAGAATAGCTCCTTTTCTTCTTTTTAACGTAATCACACTAGCTAATGCGTTTTCTAAGTTCGAAATGGCATATAATTGCGTTTTAGCACACGGAAGTAATAATGGATCATGATGGTGCAGTGTCTCAGAAGTTCACAGTCAGGGGATTCGCTAGTTCTGGGGTGCCTGGGGCTTAATATAGTCTTTTATCAATCACGTTATCCCTGTCTATCCTAATGGGTTGGCTTCGATTCACAGTTTGTAATGTATAAGTGACTACTGGTTCGACCGCTCCTTCCATAATTGATGGATCAGTTTTATATATATATATTCTCGATGTTCAGTAAACCAATCTGTGAGTTATAATATTAACTTAACCTATTGAAAGAGAGAGAGAGAGAGAGAAAGAAGGAAAAAGAAAGAAATAGACGCGAGTGAGGGCGTAGATGTTAGATGTGAACTATATTGCCATTTCTAACTGAGGAGTGGGCAATTAATTAAACAGCCTAGATAGATGGAATACTAACATCACTATAGCTGTCATTTCTCGCGTATATCCTTTCAGCATAATGATAGGGTATATACTGTGTACCAGAAACCATGCGAAAAGATTTTCGCCACGGAAAATGCTATACAATTACCTTTCCATGTCGAGAACACGGATCACCAGTGCATTTGGAATACTTCTTGCTTAGCTGACAGCCCGAAGGGTGAAGGAAATTGCCCGAAGAGGACCAATACTTTAGTGGCAAAACACCACCAGAATGACCTGTCCAACCGCCACATCCACAACTGTAACCTCAAAAAAACAGAGCACACGACAACAACAGAATGTTGCGGCATGATTCATTCCAAATGACCCCGGACCATTGCATTTGCACGACAATCAATGGCTGGGGTACCTCAATGAATCATGTCTGAAGGGACAAGACAAGGCCTGGACCGTGCTTCGGTCCTCGCAGGGCGGGTATGCTGTGCCTGGTTGCCGGTACCTCATTTCTGCAGACGATCACCTCAAGTCGAAGATTGACCATGTAGGTACCCAAGATCGACCGATCTGTTGTGAAACAACGAAAGCCAGGAATTGGGGTGAAGAGGTCTGATCACCAAGCAGGAGACCTTTACCTTGCTGCACTATTGATTATTGGTTGGATGGGATTGAAACAGGGGAAGGTTGATAACAATTGGAATGTGTATTATTTGCATATTTCTGCAGTAAGTTCAAAACATCGAGCAAAATAATCTTGTGGCTTTTGGATTTTCCCTCATTTTCCAATCTATCGGTGATGTCGGGGAAAAGAAAAACTAGACATTTTTTTTTTCAGACAGCCAGCCTCTTTTGCTTTTGCTGCATTGTAGATCAATCACATTCTTTTGCTCAACCCCCAAACCAAATCACAACCAGCCAATTGATTTAACGAGATGAGCGTCACTCTAGATAAGTCTGGAGTATCTATATATATATGTAAAAAAAAATAAGAATTAAAATAAAATAAAAATTAAAATAAAAATGTCCACTATCTCATGTTAAACTTGCTCGTATATAATAAATACATTATATTCCCTCAACAACCACTTCAGACCCAAACTGGTACCTCTAATAATACCGATCAAACAGGAATAGAACCTCGGAGATCTACATCATTACAATAGGCGAGAGAAACGAGAGGTAGGAACCCGTCATTCGGGACCAAAGCGGAAGTAGAAGGACAAGCTCCACTCCTTGGTTCGTACAGATTACCAAGAACTCTACTAGTAACTAAATAAATACTCTTTTTTTTTTTTTTTTATTTTTTTTAATTGACCTTGGTGGGAGCCTCACATGCATCCCGGGCTTGGGTTCACGACTAGTAACAGCGCGGAAATGCAGCCGGACTTTTAGCGTCAAAAGCCACGGGTTGGAATTCTAGAAGGGGGAGCTGATCGGTAAGGTCATTACCAATCAGATAGTGGATCGAAAATCCCATGTAATTTAAAATTAAAGCCGGTCAGCCTTGGTGGTTATTACCTATCTCATGGACAACTTGGACTGCCCTATCTGTAGTCTTCCTATAGTGTTCCCACGCCGTCTGGGGATCGTTCGAATAGTCGGGTTAATCATATTGCTCTATCGGTGACGGAGTCGGCTGGACTCTGTAGAATGTAGATCACGTCTAACATCCATAATAGCTGTCTCTACCAGGCAAGTCTAGGACGAAGGAAGCTAACGCATCCACCCGCTATTCTGGAACCTCAGTTCCCCTTCCCCGTGTCGGGCCAGAACTTACTTCTCCTGTCTCCATAGGGTATCCAAAACTCTCCGTCTTCAGCCTCTTGTTTATCACCTAGGACGGTTGACTCTGACTATTGGATACTATCAGCCCGTCCATCACAGTTCTTACCCAACGAGGCGAATGGTTGCGGTAATATCATGATAAACCCCATTTGCCGTTCACACCGTTAGTTTAGATCCAAACCACCCGTGCGACCGTTTCCATAGTCCCAGTGCCATGCGATCCAGAACCGTCGATCAGCGATATCCCAGTTCTGATATAGCACGGTGTAGTACTGGTAATTGGGCATGTTTGTGACGGGATTTGATGAGGTGACCCAAGGCATGCGTGGCAGTCGGGGGCGTGGTGAGTGGGTGGGTGGTTGGGTGGGAAACACTACCTAAAAATCATGATGAAAAGTACTATACAAAACAAAGTACGACAAGCATACCCAGCCACAAATAATTGGAATATATACAGAAAGTTGCAAGACCCGAATGTTGGACATCAGGGTTCCAAGGGTCCTGGGGAGTGGCGTCGCTGTATCGATCGATGATAATCGTGCATCTGCAGCTCTGGAATGCTTCCCCCCTTACTCCGTACATACAGACAGGTTGCATACATATTGCCGACAGGGTGGAAAGAGACAACTCCACGGCTTCGCTCGGTAATACGTCGGACACAGTCTTCACGTCGATCCGGTGGATAACCTATCAATCGATGACCGACAGGCTGCATGGGAGTGGATTGTGGCTTCATAGTGGATATATATCTAGACGCGAGGAGACACATGGATGATTGACAATAACACACTATCCCTACCTGTGGCGGGGACTATCATGCATCTGATTCGTCCGGATGTATCCCGCTGATCATAACAAACTCTTTTTTTTTTCTGAATTTCCCCTTCCCAGGATTCTGGTTCCGCGAAAGATGAGGAGTACACATCGATGTCTCAACATGGAAGGTCAATGATAGATGATCAATCTGACCCATCAGTTGTGGCACAGTAACAGCTTATTGAAGAATGTTTGTGGCGATAAAGTATCTGCGTCTGTGAGGAAGTACATACTCCTCATAAGGTACTTTTGTACCGTCATGGCTTGGATGATACTTTCTCATCCATTCTTTAGGTTATGCGCCAATTGAGCTTGGATTTGATGCATCCAGATCCATATTTGCTATTTGTATTCCGTAAAAGAGATCTATTGAAGAATATCATATACTCGGAGATATACAGCTTTTGCTTTAATCTGTTTGAGTCTTTAGTAATTTATTTCTGGCTCTCAGTTGATATTGAGACTATCTTTACTTCCACTAAACAAATAGTCGTTCAGAATATATTGACCGCCACTGTGAGTTATACTATAGTGGCTTTGAACTCGATTGTCTACAATAGCAGACTTGTGGTATCTCTAACAAAGATAAACTTATCAGGTATAAATAAGTTCATGCTCACAGCGCACCGGACTTTATTGTTTTAGAATTAACCAATGTACGGAGCATTCTGTAGTAATCGATGGCCTTGGCAGTAGCCGATTGATCCACAAAGATTTCCCTGCCTGTTGCCCTAACCTGCAGCGAAGGCTCGCCTAACAGCCTCAATAATTATCTAATAACCGCCAATAATAAACTACCACAATCATTTACCTTTAGCAGTAATAGTATCGACCATACCTAATTGATGGACGCGGAAACGGAACCAACAGCCAACTCCCCCGTCCCGGCCTAGAAGTGGGCGAGTCCAACGGTTCTTTAGACTCCTTCCTTTGTTCTCCAGTTTCTAGTGTTGTCTTAGCTGTATTATCTGAGTCAGTCGATCGACTATAATACCCGAGAAGGCTAGGGTGGGAGTCTCCGGTCAGCGCCCTAAACAAGAAAAGCAAGACAACACGTCTCCGTATCCAGCATAGGGAAGCCCCATAAGCTCATGGCACGATCCGCGATGGAACCATGGTACCGCACCATTCGGATGGACTTCCAGAAGGATTCTGGAATCACTTTGTTCCTGTTGGGCAATTTTCTTGTTCTGTCACGTACTACGTATCGACGGCTATGACGAGCTCGTCTGAAACCATGTAATCTGTCAAGTGGCCTGTTCGGGTTTGATTGTGCATGTGTTCATTGTCCAGAAGGCGACAAAAAGGTACCCCCATCTGAAGCACTAGCGTCGTCCAATCTACATGTCACTTTCCTCCCATTGGAACGATGTAACTCTTGGCTGTGTGATTAACTAAGTACAAACCCGTTGCAACGCCTCTTTGTCTGATTTGACAAATGTCTTGCCAGGTGGTTTTTCTTTGACCATCGTGGCCAAAGTACCTAGATAATCAATTGATCAGTTGGGTTACAAACGGATGTTCAGTTCTATTTGAAACATGTGGCCGCTAAGACGACTACGAACTAAGCGAACCCTGTCAAACATCAAACGTTTCTGTTAACATCTGGTCCAGGACAGGCCAGAACAAAGAGAACCCACAATTCGCAGTGTGAATCCTGTGGCTGGAAAGTTGAGCCAACTCGGCAGAACTCAACCATTCTGCCGCCCTCTTCTGTTGGAGATACTCTGCCCCATTGTGGCGAGGCTCAGTGGGCGGTCAATTGTGGAGTGGTAAATTACAGGTTTCCATACGTCCTGCGTTCTGGGACCTGCCGATGGAGTCCCTCTGGAGTTAACCCAACTTACAATCAATCCAGGAGGTAAATCGGGGTACATCAATCGATCAGCGGCGTTACCCCAGGGCAAATCCAGTGGAACAGGAGAGAAAAATCTAGAAGGGCCAGAGCCATTGGAGGAAAACCGTGACTTGATCCGGAGGACAGACGGAGAAAATCCATAACTTGCTCTGGTGGTCGCGGGGAGAAACAGACGGACGACACGCTAGAAGCACTAGAAGGTCGTGAGAAGAATGATGGTCGCATATAATACGTAACGGGGCGGGTAGCTGTGGGTTTACCGGATCATTGATCGCTATGAGAAGGATCCACCGGTGCCCCTATTGCTAAGGTAGCCCTGATTTCTCTGGTGACCGGGGAATAATGGGAAGAGATGAAAAATGTCTAAAAAAAATTTAAAGGGAGATAGAGTAATAAAGACTTGAGGCAAATTTGGCAACAAGGAAATAACCAAATGTACTCTGTTTGACGTGGCCAAAGCTTTTTCTTTCTTCTTTGACGGCAATGCAATACAAAATCGTAATCATCCATACATCATCAAACAAGAGCTCAACTTGGCAAACGACCAATCGCCACCACATCAGTCAGGGGAGCAGTGGATCAAACTAAAAAGGAAGTATCGAATCAATAAACAATGATCTTGGTTACGATGGTCTCCCGAGACTTAGTAGGCCACTACAGCAGGTACCGGGTAGCAAAAGCTTCTGGATTGGTTCTATGGAGAACATCCATTTACAGTACGTACATACCTTAGCTCGTACCTATAACTTACCAAAGGTACTACCCGAGCAGATACCCTTACCAATTCCGGTGCTTTAGGCTTTGACCCGGTACTTTGTGCAGACCTTACCTATCAAACATGGCGCCACATACATTTACTAGTGATTCCTCATTCGAAGTAGAGTAGATATGTACATGCATACAGAGTACATGTCTCTGCATCGACAGCTCTCGCTCTGGTGTTCATACACTACGCATCCATGTTTAAAGGAACAATTGCCTTTCATGTACCAGTATTGGTGCCTCACGCTAGGTACTCCGCCTGAAAATTGGGAAAGCGGAATACGTCAAGACGATCAAACGGGTAAGAGTAAGCCGGATGGGGTAAACAAATAAAGAAGCCTAGCCAAAGGGTTTCTCAAGGGAATAGTTATAGGGCTTGGGGGTATCTACAAAGTACTCCGTAGGTAACTTAACCCATCCACTGACACCCCGAAACACCACGCGAGAGCAATCGAGACAAGCCCCATTGGTGTTGGTTCGGATCCATCCGCGGTTCCTGGAAGCGGCTGTAAGTTCCCCACTCACACCCTGCAACAAGCCAGTCCGCTGTGTCCGAGAAGTCGGTTCTCAGAAGGTTAGGTAGCTTTTAATTAACCAAGTAGTACTACCTATATACGGAGCACTCTGGTGGAGAGCTCCGATTTTCTTCCCTTGTTCCCTTCCCCATTCGTAGTCATAGGTCGGTAGCTATGGGACGCTGTCGTATTACATAGGCTTCCTCCGTTACCATACTATTTCTAGGCTAGATTCTATTCGTAACAGACGGCCTCCTACCCTAGTAGAAAGGAACCTAGGTTGTGATGACTCCGAACGATCCCGTGGGCGTCCTGAAAAATCAGCCATCAGCTGAAGCGCTGAGTCCCTTGACTTTAGCCAGAACAAATACGGAATAAGATAGGACGAAATAAGCCTGAAACCGTCAGAATCATCTCAGGTAAGACGTCGTAGTAAGACACACTCATCAATGAAGCAATGAGATTGGTAAGGGGAGAGACAAAGGGAAATTACGGTAATTACTGGGAATAATACCTTACCTTCCAGGTGCCTGGGACCGAAGCCATCAGTCAAACGTTGGGACAGGAACCTTGGGGCGGCGCGCAGAACACAACCAGAAAAGAAAAAGAAAGAAAGGGGGTCGATGGATCGCATCCACACCCAACTAGCTTGTCGCGTACCTTCCCCCCGGGACGGGAGGGAGCTGCTATGCTAAACGGAGCTAGCTACCCATGATTCTGTATTTGGATTTTTGATTATTCTGACTTTTTGTCCTGTTCCTGTCAACTATTATTACTATTACTTTTGTAATTTTTTTTATTTATATATATCTTTTATTTATTTATTTTAATGATTATTATTTGATTTACTCTTTTGTTTTAATTAATCTTGTTTTAATTTTCCCCCTTCCTGAATTTATTTTATTTTATTTTCCTTTTAGGTTACTGATGATCGGACCCAAACTTTTTCTTTTTCTTTTCTTTCTTTCCTTTTTTTTTTCTCTTTCTTTTTCTTCGTTTCTTTTTTAGAAAAGGGAAAAAATAATAATAATAACTGATGGAGAAATTGAGGCCATTGCGGGAGTACTACATATAACAGAAACCCCCCTTCAAGTTTTCGCTTCACTCCATCATTCCTTAATTATATAAGGAACTCTCTCCCTGTCCTCCTCCCTCCTCCCTCTCTTCGTACTTTCGCCCCTGTCCTCTTCGTCTTACGTCCTCTCATCCTTTGTGACGTTACCAACGCCCTATCCCTCGTCCAATCTTTGGTTATCGCCGAACTAGACGGAGCCCTACTTCCGTGGTACTCTTTAATCGCTAGGACGACCTCCTTGCTGGCCGCATAGTCTTATCTATTTTGGCTCCTTGGGTCGGGGTTTGATCGGATTGCTTGATTCAATATTTATCCAGCACGTCCCTGCTACGCGCCAGTTTGTCACGATTTGAAAAGATACCAGGACAATTCACAATAAACAACGTCGCAAGCGCTCGAGCGGGAAAGGAAATAAAAGGAAAAGGAAAAGAATAGAAAAATAAAATTCGACCTATCGACTGTGATTGGGGCTCCACTCTTCCTCATTCTTCCAGTCCATTTACTTGGTCATCTTAGCGGCGTCACATTCCTGCCTTACAGATCTACTACTTGTCGGTGCTGTCTGTGCTGCATTGCCCTGCCTATTTTTGCCCAGCGCCAGAGGATTGAGCATTCTTAAAAGGATCACCTTTCCGATCTCAACTGCAGCTGCATCATCTGTTGTCTGCATTAATACAGCCTGCCTTTGTCTGGGATTTTTTGGGTACCTCGCTTGACGCTATAATCGATCAATAATCAGACCGCACATTAATATTTACCACCGGCTTTTTACTACTCTATTTATTGGAGATTACGGGCCACAAGGCACTCCTTGTCATTATTTAATCCTTTGAGTGAGTACTCCTCTCCACAAATCTTCCCCCATACCTTGCTCCCAAATTCGATCTCAGTGAGAACGCAACGTCTGACTATCGTTTCAAAGAGTCTTATGAAAATTCGTGATATTCAAGCTGTGACCATGGGACGAGGAGGATACGATACCACCGGTGTCCAAACAGACGAGTCCGACCAGTCCAACTAAATGTCATGGAGGCATTGGTTAAGCACAACATGTTATATTGTTTCGAGCGAAAAGTTTGTGGTTCTATTGGCGCCATGGTCTGCGGAGTTCACGTGTCGATGAAGTCGATCTTCATTGTAAGTGGAACTTCCCCCCAATTCTCAACTGCTTGTCGGTTTCAGGGCTAACGGGATGTCATAGTTTCTGTAACACTATGTTTCATTACTCTATTCGCTTCGTTGTCCACCACCTTTTTGGTTTCGGGTCTATAACCTTTTTAATACGCCTCTTCGGGGTCACATTCGCTACCACTTTCCGACTCATGGCTGCTGCCATTCTGACCTTCGACCCCGATCCTTTTACTTTTACAACTTTAATTTCACCATCGACATGAACCAGCGCAGGTCCACGATCTGTTCATCAAAAGTGCTTTTGGTTTCTTTTTTTTTTAACCTTGCTATCATCTTCGGGTTTGGGATTTGTTCGGCGTTTGACATAGACAGGATGGTTTTAGTGGGATACATGGGTTGATACCAACATTAGAGCTTGCGACCTCGCGGTCAAACATTCCGTTTTTCTCTTCGTTTTCTTACTAATTTTCATTGTTTTGTTCAAATGTTACTGGGACTTTTGTGTATGTGTCCTGAGTGCATGTGTATCATATTACAAGCACATCTTAAGAATGGAAACAGGCGTGCCTTCTCCAACCTTCTGCTCTTTTTTTTACTTTCCTTTTCTTCCCTCATCGAGCACCAGATGACGGTTGGTACAAGCCTCGATTCTATTGTGAACGGACCACAGACCATGACACGGCTGCGGGTTGATTATCCCCCGGGGGCCTGGCTGCGGCGGCACACTGAGTATCAGCCATCTGATTTGCTGAAATTCTTGTAAGCAGCGCATTATCTTGGTGGATACTGGTGCAAACATCGAGGGTGTTCGAGCCCCCGTTGCATGTGCTAATCAATTAGTGTGAGTATTATTATTCTTATGATTATTGTGGTTTGTATTTTGGGCAGCTACAGCCTACGGCCCGGGGATCTGCACAAATCATGCTGTGCAACGTTGTCCGCGCCAGTGGGCTGGGCGTCGTTGGAAATGGTTCCCAACTCCCTGGCGATCACCCTCGTTGGCGGACACTGGCACGTCATGCCTAGCCTGCATGATATGTTGTCATTATTGACAGCATGCCTCAAAGACAGTAGCCAGACTAGCGTTGGCCAGGTTCATCTCCTGCCAATCATAGGAGATTGAGAGTTGGGTACTATTTCGCCAGTTGGAAGTTGATATGTCTCACCATCCATTGAACTGGACATGGATTCTGTACAATCAAGTTGATGAGTTGGAGCCATGGGATGAATTAAAAAATAAAGACGGGGAGAGAAGAGGGCGACACAGATCATGTATTATGTTTTCAATGAAGGATTGGAGGGGGGGAGGTTACCCGCTGGAAATACAGAATGCCAGTGAGTAGATTCGAAATCCGTCAGGACGGAAACATCCCGTGACTGCCACCGTGCTGGAGGTGACCCACTAAACCGGATTGGGGTGACCTCTCCATCATCTAAAGTGACGACCGTTTAATTCCCTCCGCCTCACTGGGTATCGATCTTTCCTAGTACCTTGCGACTGTACACTTGTGCCCACCGCTATTTTCTCTTGGTATTGGTGCAATACGTTGGTGATCCTGAATTTCTATTTGTCTATTTTTTTTTCTCTTTGAGACCCTTGCTCAGGTCTACAACTTAGGCTCTCTCGTGTCCCCGGGCTGACGTTTCCTTCAGGCTACCTTGATTACTTACCGCTCTCTAAGTTCTTGTCGACCTTACCCGCCCCTGGCGAGCTGAAATCATCGACGAGATTGATAATTACCGCCCGTGCTGGCATCCCGTCCCTGCAAATCAACCTAATCGTGTATAGCCACCCATCCGTTGGGCTCTGCTGCCATGTCTGAGTCAACTAGCACAAATACTCCGAAGCCGAGTAGTAGCGTGAAGCTGGTACTTTTGGGCGAGGCGGCGGTTGGAAAGGTACGGCCTCGGTTGATTCCCTTCGCCTCTTGTCGTTGTACACGGGTAACCTGGAAGGCTGACAAATGGATGAATGGATGGCCGTGAATAGTCATCGCTAGTTCTGCGATTTGTGAATAATGACTTTCAAGAAAATAAAGAGCCGACTATTGGAGGTACGAGATTCAAAGTTGTCGATTTTTGAGCGGCATCGAATGCAACCTCTTCCCGGTGCTAACGTGCTCCCAGCTGCCTTCTTGACTCAAAAATGCTCTCTCCCGACCCGGACGATCAAGTTCGAAATCTGGGATACAGCCGGTCAGGAGAGATTCGCCTCGCTTGCGCCCATGTACTACCGTAACGCCCAGGCGGCGCTGGTGGTCTACGATGTTACCAAGCCATCTTCCCTTACAAAGGCCAAACATTGGGTTGCCGAACTACAGCGGCAAGCCAGCCCCGGGATTGTGATCGCCCTCGTCGGCAATAAGCTGGACTTGACAAACGACGGGAACGAAACTTCTGGGGAGCCACAGGCGGATGGCGAACAGCAACCCCCTGCTGCTACTGCTGACGAAGATGACGCGGCTGGTGAACCTCAGGAGGAGCAATATGCCACGTCTGGAGATGCCCGGAAGGTCTCGACACGGGAGGCTAGTTCATATGCGGACGAAGAGGGCCTACTGTTCTTCGAGACTAGCGCTAAGACGGGTGTGAATGTTGTGGAGGTTTTCACTGCCATTGCCAATGCTATACCAGAGAGCAGTTTGAAGAGTGGACGCGGAGCTGGCGCCGGTACGGGCCAGACTACTTTGGGAGGTAGCCGTCCGGCGGAGGACTCGCGGGTCAACCTGGGAGACCGGTCTACTGCCACTGCCAAAGAAGGTTGTGCGTGTTAATTTCGGCTGCGTATCTGCTCTACAGTCCGTAATGTTTGTTCTTCCATGCAGCAATCTCGCGACTAGGTTTAATTACAAAGTAATTACCTAGGGCGTTTGGGACAGTGCCGCATCAAGGACAGTTTGAAGACATGGCGTGTCATCATTGTAGTTTCTCATATCCCGGCGTCAACCTGTGTTTTCGTTTATGTTTGTGCTTTCATGCCGGAACTTGGTGCCTTTTCATTTCCGTTCCGTTGCTTTTTTTTTTTTTAACACCCCAGATTCTCTGACACTGAGCGAGAGGTCTTTCATCGTCTTTATCATTATGTATAGGTTTCCCCGATGTTGTACTGGTAGGAATTCGGTATTCTCACCGTGTGAAGGGTTATTTTCTTTAACCATTTTCTCAGTTACCTCCTGCTATCACAGATGGGGTGGGATGCCATTGAGCATCTGTACCAAGTAGAGTATAGTTTTCTATGGAACCTATTTTCTAGTAATATCATAGACGATAATAACTGATAGGAGATAACCGTTCTTTTGATGTTCCTGATATCGAGGGCAGAGCGGTCACGGGATCAGGCTTTCCCTAGGAGGGAAATGCGCTAACCTAGAATGGGCAAGCGCTGTGTCGCTAAGCGAGGCGCCGAGCCTCCGATCCCACACCAACCGGAGCAGAATTGGATGCTGGACGGACCTCTGTTTCAATCCTCGAATTTATTCCCACGACCCCCCAACAACCCGCGACAAGGAAAGGCAGCACCAGCAGCACAGCCCGCTATCCGTCGCTCGTCTGCAAAAATGGCTGCTATCAACAAGATCGCCCTCAACTCGCCCTCGAGGCAGAACCCCTCCGAGCTGGAGAACGCGATCGCCGGCGCTCTCTTCGACTTGGAGAGCAACACACAGGACCTGAAGGCCACCCTTCGTCCTCTGCAGTTCGTCTCTGCCCGTGAGGTAAGATCTGCCCGATCTATTTGGCACCGCACGTTGCAGCATCAGAATTTGTCTCTGGTCGTTTGTGGGAAGGAGAGATATTCGTCGGGATGGGAAGGAACCTATGGTGGAATCAAGCCATGTGTGCTTGGTGCGTCAGCTGGCGGTGCAATCTAGATGGAGGATGATTGTATGTCCATCGCTAGACTGGAATGAAAAGAGGGGGCGACCAGAGAAACAATTTCTGATTCTACACGAAAATGGCCTGCGCCTGCAAAAATCACAGATGCGCAATTGAATAATTTTATCCCGCAAAAGTTGATCTGACGGTTTGATATCATTACAGGTTGAGGTCGGCCACGGCAAGAAGGCTGTCATCATCTTCGTCCCTGTCCCTCTCCTCCAGGGCTTCCACAAGATCCAGCAGCGGTACGAACACACATCCAGAACCTGGTTCTTCTAGATTGAGATATCTCCCGAGACTAACACTTCCCGACATAGCCTGACCCGTGAGCTCGAGAAGAAGTTCTCCGACCGCCACGTCCTCTTCGTTGCTCAGCGCCGCATCCTGCCCAAGCCCAAGCGCTCTGTCAACTCCCGCACCAACCAGAAGCAGAAGCGTCCCCGTTCCCGCACTCTGACTGCTGTCCACGACGCCATCCTCGGCGACCTGGTCTACCCCGTTGAGATCGTCGGCAAGCGCATCCGCACCAAGGAGGACGGCAGCAAGACCCTCAAGGTCATCCTGGATGAGAAGGAGCGTGGTGGTGTTGACCACCGTCTCGATGCCTACGGCGAGGTCTACCGCCGTTTGACCGGCCGCAACGTCGTCTTCGAGTTCCCCCAGAGCAGCGCCTCTGACTTTTAGATGCCAATTTTTCTCCCTTATGTCCTTTTAAAGTCTTCTATATTTTTCCTGTGATTAGGCCAATGAGAGAAAAATAAGTCTGGGATTATCGAGAACAAGAACGCAGGCTTACGTCTTTTTTTTCTCTTTCTTGAAGTAGACAAGAAAAAAAAGGAAACACTTGGGACGAGGAGGAACGGCAATATCTTGTTGTGCATTGCGTCAGCGTGCGCTGTGCGGTGGTGGGTAGCTTCTTGATCTGGTCCTTCGGGTTTAGGGTTCCCTAATGAAAAAGAGGATGTGATGTGATGTGATAATATCATTCATGATCTTTTGGTCCGGGCTTTTCCTGTTGTTCGGCGTGGTTGAAAAACAAAAAATATCTCTTATTTCTTTTTCCTTTTTTTTTTTGCTTTTCCGCACATATTCCCCAGATTTTATTTTCCGGATCCATCCCCGTAGTTCATGTAGATGTACATTTGGGTTCTGCGCACGTGGTCAATTTCTCTTGTCCCAATTAAGCTTATTGTTTAGTAGGATTTAGTTCGTATTCCATGGACGTTTTCTGCTGGATCTATATTTTCGTAGGGATATACATATATATATAATGAATGAGGTCCAAGACACCAATGGTTTAAGTTTCATCCAGAATATTCAAACAATAAGGGTATGTGTGTAATAAAAAAACAGACATTTATCAACCAATCTAAGAACCACAAATATCTAAAATCCCATCTCCGGACTAATCCTCCCTACGCCCAACACCATCCAATACGCCAATTCCCTCTTGACCGTGTCTGAATTTTGCCCCTTACCAACAGACTGCTCCTGATCGATCTGGTTCTCGGAGTCCCATTCCATCCGCACAAAGACAGGGATCTCCATGACATCTTCGTCCGGCTGCAGCTGTTGATTAGGGTCCTTAGTTTGTCCGCTCCAGTCCAGGGCATTGGCATTGACGTCGGAGTCGACATCGGAGTCATCGTTATCATCGTCGTCGTCATCATCATCATCGTGCTGTTTCATGCGGTTACGTCCTGTAGCACCGCCGCCAGGTAATGTCCCGGGTACGACCTCCAGGACGACGGTGGTCCAGTTACGCCCCTTATCCCACACCTTTCCGGCCTCTGCGACTTTCTCGGCGGAGCCTAGGGTGCCGGATCGGGAGGCGCGCGCGTCACCCGGAGCGGTCGAACCCTGCAGGGCCTCGTCCCACACGTCACTGTTAGCGCCGATGTCGAATTGCGGACACAAGATGGTCACTTTTGAGGCCACGCGCCCGGGTGTCACCGACGGCGTGGCGAGTGTCACCCGCACCGGGTCAAACATGTGATTTTTCAGGGTGAGCAGGAGCTGCACGGTTTTCAGCGGTAACAGGGCGTCCAGGTTTGGCGCCGCGGCGGGTGGGGCGGACGGAAGTCCCGCAAAGGGGCTGGGGACTAGGGGTTTGAGGGTTGGCAAGGGGATGTAGCTGAGGGCGATGAGACGGATGCGGAACCGGGTCGATTGCGGCTTGAACTCGGGTTTGACAAGGATATGCTTGCACGACTTGCAACGCTTCGACCGTTTCGTGCGAAGTAGCACCGGCAGTGGGAGGAGGTCTTCTACGAACCGTGCGTCGGGGGATTGGAATGTACGCTGTTCGATAGAAGCCATTCCGTCCCATCCGCAGTCGTCGGAAGCCATGCGTTGGATTAGTGCGTTTTCTGCATCGGGCGCCGGCACCCTTAGTCCTTCGCTGGTTGTGAGAGCTTCTCGCATGACCGGCGGCTTGGATTTCGGTTTTTTGTTGGTGCCGCCATAGAGATTACCGAGACGGGATGATGAGGTGTAGAGGGACATGATGCGGTTCAGGGCCCCCGGGGAGGAGAATCCAGCTCCGAAATCAGCCAATGGGTCATTAGGTGATGAGGAGGTTGATGCTATCTGATTCTTGTAGAAACCCTTCAGTGCCTGGAATCGCGCCTCTGGATTCAATGGCCCTGAGGATTGCTCGTTGGCCGGGTTGGTCTCATCACCTCTCATCTCGCTAGGCGATGGAAAGTGATCGTCGATCGAAGAATACGTGGACAGTGGGGACTTGAGGTCACTGAAGGTCTTGGACATCTGTCTTCCCCGGGAAGAATCCGTCATCTTAGACAACTGCGTGCGGATGTTGGTGGGCTTATCGAACTTGACGCCGATGTCTAGAGTCGTCCACATGCAATAGCCGCATGATAGTACCCACGGGCCCTGTTGACTTCCACCTCCGGTGACATTCTCCAATGTAGTGACTGCTAGTGGAGCAGTGCATATGGGGCAATTGAAGCAGTTCCTGGCGCATCTATAATGACCCTTCCTTAGCAACCATCCGATAAGGTGACCGAGTACACTCCTAAAAAACAAAACCACAACCTACCGATTCCCCTCGCTCCGAACCATGCTACTCGGTGTCTCAAACAGACAGTTAGGGCAATACCAGCATACGATCTCCTCTGTTATACATCGGGGACACTTAATCTGATGGCAGTCCTCGCAGTATAGTAGTTGCTCCGGCGGGTACAAAGAAAAGTTAGACCGGGGAGATCGGGGGTCGAACGTGCGTTCATCCTCGAAGTCATAATCCTGAGGAACTGGAGCATTGGGATCCTCCGGGTTGGACTTGTGAGAAGTCTCTCTTGATCTCCGCTTCCTGGCTGGGTCGGGAACAGGGGTGTCGGCACATGGACAGGAAATGTAGGCGTATGGGAAAGGACGCGACATGTTGAGGAACTAAATTGAAGCTCGTATGGTTAAGTAATTCATGCCCTACGCTTGTATGCATTAGCCTCGCATAATCCAAAGAAAAACATAGCGCGACCAGAAATAATTACCCCAATAGGGGAAGATATAAATGACAATCTGTACATACGCAACCACCAAAAGATCCACAGTATCTTTACCAATAGGGTCGAGATTGTTCCTCACAGACGCCCATAATAGTTTCAAATTCGTAACGATGGGCGCAAGCCGCGAGGAAGGAAATGTTGACAACGCACGAAATGCGGAGTTGAATGGAATTTAATCCAGTTTTAGAGCTCCGCCGACGTCACGCCGCAAACTTCCCGCATTTTCAATCTCCGCCGCAACTTCTTCGACCTTACACCCCTCATAACCACATAACCGCAATGCTCTGAGCCCTCTAACTTACTCCAAAAGCACAATTGAACCCCCGAGGCATAGCCATGTCTCTCCGCCACATCTTCCGTCCGGGGATATTTTCACCCCGGACATTCACATACAGAGCCGCCAGAACCTACGCCAGCCAAACGCCCGGCAACCCCGTCCTGGAAATATTCAACCGCAAGGTAAAACATATACAGAAGGACCGTGCGGCCCAGAATGTCGAGGAGAGCCGGAAGACAGATTACATCAAAGATGAAGTAGCCATGCGGCTATGCGAGCGGTTACTAGTGCGTCTTCACAGCTACATCCATATCAATAAGAACTCCATGGTTAACAATGTGGCATCTAGGATATAAAACGAGACATTCCAAATGTGCTCGACCTCGGCGCAAACAGCTGTAATATCGCTCGCGCCTTAACGATGCCCGACATAGACCCCGTCAACCCAAACTCACCACCCCTCGCAACCCGCATCTCGAACCTCACCTGTGTTGACACCTCGCAGGCCCTTCTCCACCGTGATGCGGACGAGCCCTTCAACAAGGAAATTTCCATCAGGCGGGAGGTTATCCCCGACCTTGAGAACCTTCCATACGAGGAGAACACGTTCGACGCCGTCCTGTCTTCCCTCTCTATTCACTGGATCAATGACCTGCCCTCGCTGCTAGCGCAAGTGAACTCTATTCTTAAGCCGGATTGTCCGTTCATTGCGGCTATGTTCGGCGGTGATACATTGTTCGAGCTCCGGACGTCCTTGCAGCTGGCGGATATGGAGCGACGGGGTGGTGTGAGTCCGCATGTTTCGCCACTGGCGGATGTGCGTGATGTAGGTGGACTGTTGAATAAGGCCGGATTCAAGATGCTCACGGTTGATGTGGAAGATATCGTGGTGGAGTACCCGGATACGTTTGCTCTCATGCAGGACTTGCAGTCGATGGGCGAGAACAATGCTATCTTGCACCGGGAGTTAGGGCCGATGTCGCGTGATGTGTTGCTCGCCAATGAGGCGATCTACCGGGAATTGCACAAGGAAGAAGGGTCGAGGGGCATTCCCGCGACGTTTAGATTGATTTACATGATTGGGTGGAAGGAAGGAGAGGGACAAGCTCAGCCTCTGGCTAGGGGTACTGGAGAGGTTAATTTGAAGGATCTTCTGGGCGGTGGTGATTTCTCTAATCAGCGATGAGATGGGGGAATTGTAAAATATACGTTGTTCAGTATGTATACTATACCGTTAGAATCTAGGATATCAGCCCATTTGCGGGAGCAGAAAAGCGAAGGCAGCCAAGTATGAACACAGCACGAACGAAAATCATTTGAATATCGACGATTTCTCAATCAACCATTTATCTATCCCCTCGTCTCTTTCTCAGAACTAGAGCTTAGTCCGATCGAATTAGACCGTCCTCCGGTCCGTCATCACACGGACGATGGATCCAGTACCCGCCACCTCTACCAGTTTCTCATGCCAGCTCAACAGGACACTCATCTGCTGACCACCACCACCTTCGCCAAGGTTCCTAGCCTGAATCTGTGAGAATCCGGTGCTCTGCGGGGAGACCGATTTGCGAGGCGATTGCGCCCCGCTGCTAGGCCCAGGGGCCGCCATTCCCTTGTACCTAGTATAACAATCAGCACCCAGAGCCATCAAACAATGCCGTACAACACAAGAAAAAGGACGTAAAGGCGAGAAGGAAAAACATACAAATACTTCATCAAGCAGTCCGCCCGCTCGGAACCACCCTGTCCATTGCAAACCCCCTCCAGCACTCTCGTCATCTCGCCCTGTCGAATTCCCTGCAACACCTCGATAACGGTAGCCAAGTGCACCTCCTTTGCGCGGTCATCTCCACCTAGCGGAGCCGTATCGAGGACAGCGCGCAGCGCTCCCTCGGGGTCTCCACTGCGGAGTAGCTGGCGCACCTGGGCGGCGACGTTGGCGGCTTCGCTGGATGTGGTCGGGGCGGGGAGGGTAGGGGGGAGAAGGGTTTCCATAGGAAAGTTGGCGGAGGACTCAGGGTCCAGCACGTCGACATTGATTGTGCGGTAGTTGAGTTGAGCCATGGTGGGTGTTTTTGTTTGATCGGAGGGTGATTTAGGAGATTGAGTTGGCTCGGAGGTAATTAGTTTATGACAGAGAGCTTTGTTTGATCTTTCGTAGTATATCTAGAGATGTGATCTAGCGAGGCTGGGCCCGTAGCTGTTTGTATGTTAGCTAGGCTCAGTTCACGGTCAGGCACCGTCATTACCCTGTCCGACGTTAACGGAGCGGGGAGAAGAATAGGGACAGACGGGACGTCTAGCAATTCGTTGCTCTTCCTGTCCAATGGGGAATAAGGGCAAGGTACACTGACTGTCTTCCTAGCTTATGCACAAGTCGAATTGGGCGCAGTGAAATAAGTAAGTCAAGAAGTTGAAGGTACAAACCATCGATGTCTTCGAGAGGATGATGATGTGGGCGGCGGTGCGGAGGTGGATCTGGACGCCTCAGGCATAAACATGGGCTGCATACAAGTATACCCAAGTACTTCTAGTAGTAGTGCTTATTATTTCAGTAAACACACGCCTGCAGCTTTGGTGACAAGGTTGCTTTGGTTACTTATTTGAAGAGTTCCTGCTGAAGATTCTATATTGTATGCTTATGAAACTGTAGCACAGTGCCAATTCTCTACCATCGGGCTTAATATCGTCTTATATCTATAACCGCAGCAGATAAGCATACTGAATGAAGGCATTTCTACAATGACCGAAACCCCAATGATACTCGAGGAACTCAAGGCATGGATTAATAAGCAAGTCATAGATTCAAACAAGCTCAAGCTGACTATCTACATGGGAGTATCTGTATATCTCAAAAATCATGGGCGCGCTAAATCTATAGACCAACAAAAGTACAAAACGCCTGTTATGCAACATAAAAAGACATCATACCACTCAGCCACTGCATATGTATGTACAAATTCCATGCATGTGGTATATTCGTTAACTATAATACAGAGTGAACTGCCCTGCAGCAGCGAGGCAGAACAGTGACAGTCATAGCGTATGTTGAATTCGTCAAGAGGTCGTGATAGTAATCGGAGGCACTGTGACCGAAGTCGTTGGCGCCTCGGGGGTTTTCTGTCGACTCAGATCCGTCAAAACGGCAGCCTCTTCGTCGGGTCTACCAATGTGTTCTTCCTGGCGCTTGCTGAATGCTCGCTTGGTAACTCGTTTAATAGGCCGCACAGCAGACTTGAGCATCTTCCCAACGACCCCAAAAGCCTTGCTGATAGGCCGTAGGATTAATGCTATGGTTTTGACAACAAAGCCGAGTGCGATCCCGAACGGCTTGTCGGGAATCAGGCGGAGAACCACAGCCCAAGGAAGACAACCGATCGCACAGATGATACAAACAGCCCACTGGATGCTGTTTAGGGGAGTCACACCGAAAGCTTCACCTCCGACATAAACGATCATGACTTGACCGCCAACCATGATACAATTGATTCCAAGGAACCAGTAGTTCTTAAACATGCCTTCGAAGATATTGAACTTGTTGTCAAGCCTTCGGTTGTTGAACTCATTGAAAATCTGCATCCACACGAAAGTGTTGAACACGACGGTGGCGAGCTCTTTCTGTCCATTATCGGCACTGAGATGATCCTTGAGAATGTGGCTTCCGGCAAAATATAGCATGAAAGTTACAGCTAGCTGGTAAACTGCCTGTCCGAGGATCATTTTCCACATGACCACAGTAAATAGGGATGCACTCTTCGGGGAGGGCTTGCGATGAAGGATTTTCTCCGTCGGTGCATCAGTCGCAAGAGCGAGGGCTGCAAAGGTATCCATGATCAGATTGACCCAAAGCAGCTGCACTGCGCTCAAGACACTTTGGTTCTCATTACTGTAGAGAGACGAAACAAAGGTTAGAACAACAGCAGTGATGTTGACTGTGATCTGGAACTGGAGGAATTTGGCCACGGCATCATTCACAGCTCTACCCCATGCGATTGCTGTCACAATCGAACTGAAGTTATCATCAAGTAGAATGATTGAACTGGCTTCCTTGGCAACTTCTGTACCAGCGATTCCCATGGAGAAGCCAACATCGGCAGTCTTTAGTGCAGGGCCATCGTTGGTACCGTCTCCAGTTACCGCCACAGTCTCTCCCAGATGCTTCAGTCGTGCCACCAAGATCCGCTTATCCTCAGGCGATGAGCGGGCCAGGACTTGAAGACGTGGAAGCACCTTGTCCATTTCATCATCCGACAGCTGGCGGAATTTGGGGCCTTCCATGACAATTCCATCTTCTGTTTTAATACCACAGGACGATGCGATGGCGGTGGCTGTTGCTATGTTGTCACCAGTGACCATCTTCACTTGCACACCGGCGGTACGACACTTCTCAATAGCTGTAGGAACTTCGGGTCTGAGAGGATCCTGGATACCTACAACGCCAATCCAGGTCATGTCACGGAAAAGCTCTTCGAACTGAGCCACGTCTGAATCATCCTCGGAGGGCTTGAGATAGCTCGGAGGCCAGCTGGAAATGTTCGAAAAATCGCGATAGACCAGCCCGATCGTTCGTAAAGATTTGTTGGCATAGGATTCAATAGTGTTGAGTATCTCCTGACTATTCTCCTGGGTGAACTGATCAACAGCGATGCCATTAGAGCCATCCGTATCAGCTATCCTTGTCGAGCATGCTCCGGCCATGATCTCAGCGGCTCCCTTGACAAGAAGCCGATAGCCCACTGTAGGTTCCCGATACACCACTCCCATGCACTTGCGGGCGGAATCAAAGGGAATCAATTGAACTATCTCCGCGGATCCACGTTCAGCAGTGACATCCATTCCGAGGTAGTCTTTAGCCAGTTGTAGCAATGCTACTTCGGTTTTGCTTCCGATGAACTCTTTCGAGCCCTCCCTTTCCTCCTCAAAAGCGGTCGAGTTAATTGCAATGCTCTTGACGATCAGGTCGCGCATTCTGGAAGAAAACTGTTTGAAAGTCTCAGTTGCGGTCATCGAGGAGCTGGAATTGTTATCTTGTCCGAAGCTCTTTGGTCCCAGTGTCCCGGCGACCACAGTCATTTTATTTTGGGTCAGAGTCCCTGTCTTGTCGGAGCAAATGACTGTGGCGTTTCCCATCGTCTCGCAAGCACGAAAAACGCGCACAAGGTTGTTCTCTTTGACCATTCGTGTCGTAGCAAAGGCAAGTGCCAAAGTTACGGCCAGTGGGAGACCCTCTATTTCTCATCAGTACTCATACTATTGCGTCGTTGTGGGGATACACAACTCACCAGGAATGGCGACAACAATAACCGTAACAGCAACGATGAGAATATCTACGAATTCCTTTCCCTTGTGTGCAGGAGAGCCAGGATTGTCCGGGAGTTGAGCAATGAATCTAAAAAGCAATGCGAAGAACAGGACGATTGCCGCGCTGGAGAGGTCAGCCATACTTCCTATAAGCAAAGGAGTTGCATATCTTACCCAGAGCCCAACCAGCCGATCCAGTTGGCAAGCCTTCCCAGCTTGACTTGCAAAGGAGTCGGGTCATTATTCTCCTGTAACGACAACAGGATGCGCCCATAAGTTGAGTACCGTCCGACGCTCGTTACTAGGAAGGTGCCTACACCTTCAAGGACCTTACCGCCAGAAATCATAAAGGGGTCGAGTTTCTTCGTAGCAGTACCATTAGTGATTTGCCGCCAGGCTTCATATCCATCGGTTTTCTTCATCTGATCTGATTCGCCAGTAGCAGAAGACTCGTCACACTTGATTCCGTGACCGGATATCAGCACACCATCAGCAGGGATAGAGTCACCGGGCTCAAGGTGGAGAACGTCTCCAACAGTAATATCGTAGATTGAAATCATAGACACCTTGCCCGAGCGGACGGCTTTAACTTCTCTGTCGTTGTTCTAAGGCTGTCAGACAACAATCCAAAGGCACTTAGACGGCTTACTTACACGTTTGTTCAACTTGGCAAACTGCCTTTCTTTCTGCCAGTCGTTGGCGGCTGTCACAACGGTGACAATCAATATCGCAACGCAGATAGCAACTCCTTCGACCCAGTCGACTCCTGAGCCTCCGCTGACGGTCTCATAGATACCCAGAGACAGTGATACAATAGCGGCGATGGTAAGCAAGATAATAATTTTATCATTGTATGCAAGCCAAAGCAACTTCAGAAAGCCAGTCGACTTACGAGCAGGCAGTCTGTTTTGGCTGAAGATGCTTATGCGATCCTCGAACTGTGAGCCAGTTTCGGATGCAGGTGTCTCTGTGATTGAGGACAATTGGTGTTTGGGGTGGGCGTTCCCAGACGACGTCGCCTCTTGGAAGCTAATGGTGCCTTCTAAGCGACCCTCATCTACGGACAACCCAGCCGTCAAATCTGTCCGCAAGCCGCGTTCCAGGCCATGTAAGCCACCAAGCGCTTGAAAGGCAGCAAGGGACTTCGGATTTTGCATCTTGTTGAGCTGGCCGGGTGAGAAGGCAAACTTATTATCTTGCACGATGAAATCATCTTCATTTCGAGCATCCGGATTCAAGGCGTCTGCCACTGAGACGTCATCGTATACAGCTTTGGTGGTAGTAGCTGCTGAGTTTGCTCTTGACCTGACAACAGTATCTGCACAAGAGATAGTTGAGTCTGCTCTTGACCGTAAAGTTTCACCGCCAAGTGAAGGTGATGATGAGTGTGATGATCGAGGGGGCCCATTATGGACTGATAGCCTATTTGGACTGAGGGTCGATGCCATTTCTAGTGATAACGAAGATGGTTGGGCTAACGATACGTCTGTTTGCCCTGACCCGGCAGAAACGGACGACTGCTTTTGTCTATATCAATATGCGCCCTAACATATCAAGTGAGTGACTTGAAGACTTACCTCTCTGTTTGCAGGGTTCCCTATGAAGGGGTTCAAAAACTCCTCTTGACGATTTTCGTTTGGGGTCAGCATTCTGCGACTAATACGCTGAGCTTATTTGCTGACGAGAGAAGCGAGAAGTACATTAACATCAATATGTATAAGACAGTAGAAATCCCTCAATTAAGGGCATGTGCAGAGAACAGGTGATGGGGAAGGGTGCGTTCTTTTATCTAACAAGGAGGCTGTGTAGGTGCCGAGACTGGCTAATGAAAAATCAGATAATAGTATAATCATAAATTGTTTATAAGATTTATGTTTAAAATTTCGTGTGCCAGATATGACTCTCCCACAGAGGCGGCAGGAATGCCAAGTTGTACCAGCTCAACAGCACACGGCAGAAATACGGTCACGGCCAAGCCATCTATGAAAGATCTGAAGCTTGCAATTGATATCTGCAAGCTCAGCAACATTTCCATGGAAAATGGTGGGTGCAGGGGGGTCCCGGTCGTGTGAGTGGTTCTATCGACATGGATTAGCAGCATACTCCCACTTGCACAGCCTCCTTGACAATCTCTTGGGAGCTCGAAAGGGGGAATCCCCAACGAGTCACAATGATCGGCTCTAATCCAAGAGCGGGGTCTGTCACCCATGCCAACGAGCTTCATGACCAAACTGACTTTGCCGAGAGCAAATAAACTAGCGAGTATAACCGCCAGAGGAATTTCGCATCCTCAACCATTCCATGTCCTCTTTCCTGAGAGGGCGCGACGTCGGCAGTTGTGACACTTCCCAAACGCGACTAAACGCGCAGGAGATAGCTTAGAATCGATGTATAGCGCACTAGACAATCTGAGTGGCTCGTAGAAAGCGTTAAATCCATGGAAAAGCGGCGAATAGAGGCCCGGAGTCCGGACGGCGCTACGGACGGAGGGACGATGCAAACCGCGGGTCTGTCTGGTCGAAAGTCCAGAATTTTGACGCCAAGTTGCGGTAATGAAGACCAGTGGCTGCGCCTCCCTCGCCAATAGTTGCGAGAAAGCTAATTTTCCATAGTTTTTCTTGTCTTGATAAACCATATGATTTGCGGGATGGCCTCCGTCATCCGTGACCGGAGTACATACTCCGGAGTAAGTAAAATAGAGTAAGTACTAAGGACTAGGTAATTACCTCTGCATAACAAGGCTCCACATACCAATCAGAGGTGTTTCTCGGCGAATAAGCAACAGTAAATTCACTCGCCACAGATGTGGCTGGTGTTGTGGCGGTGCGGGCTATTCACGGAAGATGGTTTCTTCGTGGCTAATCACCATCACCATCACCACGGCGTTTCCGCTCGCAAGGTTGCAAACATGTGGCACTGTTGATTCATGTCCCACATGTGATTGAGGCAAATCAGCTAGTATCAGAGAACGCGCGGCGGACTGATGGCGAGAGGAAAGCGCCGCGTAGGCGCTGTAGCGGGAGCACTACCAAGCGCGCAACTCGCTAATCGTCTGAAGCTGAATCCATCTGACGTCTGGATGGCCAAGCTGAGGCTTAGAATGCTGAGAAAGCTTGGTTGCCTGGAAGAGCCATGTGGATGAAGAAGGTTCGTAGATGAAGAAGAGAAGGCAACAGTGACTGCTGGAGATCGATGGTATTCTGTCGACTTAGGCAACATCATTAAATAGATACTATTTCAGGTATTGTACTTGATAATACACCTTATGATACAATTTTCTCCCACCGGAGACTGCGGAAAGTCTTGTCTAGGCGTATGTAATACGGGTATGAAGGAGTATGTTACACGAACCGCTTCATCACGAACGGGCTTCATATACTTCGTATACTACTACGACCCTATACGACGAGGCTCATATATGAGGCTCTACATAATCAGAGGTTTAAATGTTGCCTGGGGTCATCAGCCGCAAAGTCAAGTTACCAATCCACATCAGCTAGCCCAGCATATCGATTTCCCAAGCCACAGAAACACTCTTTCGACCGTTCCGCAGGTGTATCCTCTCTATCTCTCCGCCCCAGCACCTCCTCCATCCCCCACGCAATTCTCTCTGCACCCAGCCTCGCTCCTTCAAGATTAGGGGCTCCCGGACCTAGGCGGAGGGCAGCCAGCCGTCCAGTTACAAATAAAGGCAAATTCGCCTTCCACATGAGATCATCCGTAATGCACGGCAGACCCTGCTTGGTCTCAATCTGATATTCACGGTTCATTTGCTGAAGCAGTGGAAGTTCGTTCACATCTGCCTGCATGCCTGTTGCAAAATAGATGTAGTCGATGCGAGGGAGGTCGGGAATTGGAGGATCAGTGGTGAGGCGCCATGTCTGAGACATGGGACAGTACTCACGGCTCAGGATGACTGTACGAGAGTGGATCGAGACACGGTGGCGGGCTGCATGCTGCTTCAGGATTTTCTGGTACCGTGGGGTAATGCTGCCTCCATTGCGAGCTGTTTTGATCATCTCAAGGCGCTCTTCGTCCGTGTCTGCGGACCAGAAAGCTGCCTTTTCGTAGTTTTTGAATTTGCCCATCCAAGTCAGGTCGATATCGAAGTGTTTGACTGGCACCTTCCATTACTAAACTACTTCGAGGACAAAAGCTGATCCCATTACTTACCTTTGAAATCAGACCTTAACAGGAACCACACCTTGCTCACTCCCTTGCGGATGGCCATATCCACTATCTGAGCCGAAGAGAGCCCTCCTCCAACAACCATCAAGTTTGTCTGCTGACGTTGCTGAATCTTTCTTTTCACATTGGGACTTGGAAATGATCGAATCTCCGTACTATGGCAACCCCCGTTTGCCTCTTCATTCGTTAGCTTAAACGGGAAAACCTTCGTCCTTCCAGGCCCAATGGCTAACACAACCGTCCGACTGTAGAACACAGCCCCATCACTCGTCGTGACCGTGAATATCTTCTCGGAAGGCGACATCTCGTCGTGGTAGTCATACTGGATGTTATTGACCTCACGTTGTTGGATCATCCCTGGCGTGTTAAGGCCATACCGCGCGATGATGCTCGAGCAGTAGTCCTCAAATAACCCCGTAGAAGGTGAGAAATAGTCTTTGCGGTCTCTTTCATCGATCTCAACCTCTCCTATAGCCCTACAGCACCATCATTCATCATCAGCTTTATGGTCGAGACCACAATCAGAGAAAAGGAAGGTACTCACACAGCCTTCGACCTCATTTTCTTCTTCTTCTTATGCTTGCTTAACTCCTTCCCCACACACCCAGATATCTCCCAAAGATCACAATCCCTCCCCACCTCCTGCGTATACGCCAACATTCCGTCCCGATCACTCGGATCAACATGGAAGAACATGGGACTGCGAAGCTGCTGAATCTCTAAAGTCTTGAATGCCCGATTCCACCGCTCCATCCATTTATCGCCCGTACTATCCAAAACAAGAATGGAGGGCGAATCATCCTTCACTGGACCGGTTTCCGTCTCCACTGAAGCAGTCGAGGCGGACGAGGACAGCGAAGGTGGAGACCCCGCTATAGACTCTAAATGTGTAGACGAGAAGGACTGCCGAGAGGTATAACCGTGCCATTTCTCTGCTTTGACCTTTTTCTGCTTGCCATGGCGAGCCTGTACGAGCGCCATCCGGCCGCTATGTTTGTTGATCCAGTGGTAACGCTGGTGCTCGTCGTCTGTGAACAGCGCAGACGGTGTTTCTTCTTTTAGTCTGGCAGCAACGGCGAGACCACATGGTCCGGCGCCGATGATGATTACATCGAGGAGGTTTGGGAAGGAGGGCGTGGATGCTTTGGAAACCATCGCTTATTGGTATCTATTAGTTTCTTAGGGTTGTTCGGGTTGTCATTTGTAGGTTCGGGTATATTAAAGAGCGCAAAAGTTTTTTTTGAATTAGGAGATACATTAAATACTCCTCTACTCCGTACAGCTTCCATATATCTATTGGCGGTAAATGATGGCCTCCGGGGTACTTGGATCCCAAGGTCCTTTGGGACCAAGAATGGCAACAAACATAATGGTGTGGCCATGATCTGCGTCATGAGTACCTTGGGGGGTGTTTGACCCCTGTGATTACTTTTCATTGATGGCAAGATGCTAGATTAGTACGAATTAGGCAGTATGTCAGGAGAGCACACAGGATCTCTGGGGGGGTTTCAAGTCGTGAGGATGAGCTGATCGCAGTTACAAAACTACTCTTGTATGTCTTCGTATATTTGGGAAACAAATTGGTTGATTAGATTACTATGACAACAAAAACTCAACATCAGAGAATACACATTAGAATTATGAGGAATACTCCAGCTTCCTCTTTTATTTTCTCTCTCTCTCTCTCTGCTGTTTTGTTTTGTTTTTGTTTTTCCCCCTTTCTTTCTTACCTTTGTCCCGTTACTTATGCCATTTTTTTGGTTTGCCTTCCACACCAGTCGCTCGCGAACGTGGTGCTCCACCTCCCTCACGCCGATGCCAGGCATCTTGTGGCCAGATCCAGCCTCTCACTCGTTTGGCATCTCGCTTTTCTCCAATCTGTGGCTCTGGAATCCATTTGTCTTTCCCTTCTGGGAGGATACGTTGTCGAGTTAGGGCTCCGGGTCCGCCAACATTCAGGTGAGAGGACGGCTGGGATGGCAAAGGCACAGATTTAGAAAGCATTAGGAGGAAGTATAAAGCGAGGCTTGCCGTCATCGGTACATCAAGCTCGTCTGGGGCTGGTGAAGAATATGCGTCTAAGATAGGAGATTGACTGGCCAATGAGCTGTCGCTGGACGGTGTGGGCGATTGAGGGTGACCATAAGGGACTGAGCAAGGTTTCAAGTAGCCGTCGTCTGGACTCGCCGCAAGTTTAGTGGGTATAGGAGCTGAAACCTCGAGGAAGCCAAAATAAGGCACGTCGTCACCCTCGTCGCACCCCGCCCGCACGCAGACAAGCTCGATCTCTGTAATAATGAAGCCGTATCGGCAGGAATGTTCGCGCATACACCGCTGAAGGTGCGCTAGACCATTTAAATACTCAACCCGCCGATGAGGTGCTTCAGTGCGCATACTGGTGTTCCAACGGTCGAAAGTTTTGATGATTCCTACCAGCCGTCCACGGGGCAGACCCGAGCTTGTCCGCTCCGTATCTGAAGTGTAATTTGCAAGGAAATGCGGACCGCCATAGTTCCTGTTGCCATGGATCCGTGGGACAGGGGTAGCATAGAGCGCCAGGTGATTTGGGCCTTGAGACACGGCCAAAGCGGCATTCACTCGTGGTGCATATATATCTTGGATAAGGTCAACCAAGGTGAATTCAGAATCAGGACACAAGCGCGAACCTGAGACCACGGTTGGTGGGGTCAGATGTGACGGGATTGCTGTCTTCAGGAGCTTCGTGAGGCCGTTGATCGAATGGAATGTGGACAGGGAAAATGAGGACCAGCTGCGCAAGTTCCGGATATCCCACCAGAAGTAGTCATGCATCCCTCGTGTTGGAATCACGCTTACGTTTCGAACCAGATTGATCGCTTGTGTTGGCCCGGTCAGGTATGAAAGAAGAGTTGTAGATGATGGGTTTATTCTATCAACACCGTGGACAAAGCCAGTTGGTGAGCACTGGGCACTCGAAACTTGGGAATAGCTGTAAGGGGAAACTGGAAGCACTGGTGGAGCCTGTGTTCGGGCTCGAGAAGTGCGCGAGAAGGGACCAACAATAGAAGGCTGCGAGTACGGCGGATATACAATGATATTGGGCGTGACTGGGGTGGCTGGTGCAGTAGGGGACCCTTGTGGTTGTCCAGAGTACTTAGAGAGCTGCCTGTATGTGGAATAACCATATCGGGCCAAGGTTGCCTCATCGACACTGGATGCAGAGCACGATCGAGAATGTGCACTGGACACTTTGCGCTTGTGCGAAGACGTTATGCTCACAGGAGACGCCAATGCTGAATCAGCGTACATGGGCGAGACTGGGGATGGCACAGTGTAGTAGTCCACACATTCAGTGCTATGACATCGAGCTGCTGCACGATTGGGAGGGTATGGTAAGAAACCAGGTGGATTCCGGGTGTTCGATAGCACTTTACGATGACGCTGCGGCCCATTAGCTGGAGCTGGTTCAATGACCACATCCTGGTCCCTAATTTTGGGAAGAAGGGCTGGCCCATGATGATAACGGGGGGGAGAATCAGTGCTCGGGCTGGTGACTGAGGTGACTGCAGACCAAGGCGAGGAATCATTGGAGTATATAGACGAGTCGGATGCATTGCGACTGTGGGTCATTCGAACGATTCCCTCATATGGTAACCCTGGCGGAGTGCTTGGCCGATAGTACGAGTATTCCATGGTCATTGAGTCGAGCTGTGTAGCAGCAACGGTTCGATTGTAATCAGTGCTGTAGAGAAATGGAAGGTCCAGCTTCCACGAGGAATCAGGGAGTGATCTTCACTAATGAATAATCAAAAGAAACTAAAGGAAGGTGAAAGATGGTTGTTCAAAGACAAGGTATCACAGTCGAGTCATAGTCTGTGTGAGTGGTTATGCTAAGTTCTTGTACACTTGGGAGGCAGATGTTTGGATATAAATGTTCTTCGATCAGAGGCTCATACGGTCTGATTAAAAAAAGTAACCGACACATACGACCAGAATAGCAGCATATGAAACATGGAGAAAACTCCATACTGACGCCAAAGTCGCTAGTCATCGTGAGCCACTGTCCACATTGGTGATAGTGAGGCAATGAACACCTGAATTGTCGGCATCTCTTTGGATGATGCGCGAAACAAACGAGCTTAGAGCTAATGGAGCAGGCAGACGCTGTTTCATCTAACAGTCGCGCGTCAATTTGTTGCTAAAAATTGCATCTACTCGATTTCTTCAGATCTGATGGAGATCTTCACTGATCCCATCCTGGGGATGGTTCGTCATGACCCGTAAAAGCTTCTATAATCAGTAACACTTGTGTTTCGTGCTATTTCTGGATAATCATAGCTAATTTAAGGGATTCTCACCAAAAGCATCTCGCGTGGTAGATCCATTAGTCGGCGGCAAGCATAAAGCTAACGATTGGCATACTTGATGAACGCTGGTCCTCGAGGCACGATCACAACTACAAGCGCCGAGGGTTGATAGCAGGAGCTGCAGGAGATGGATGGAACAGCAGCAAGAACCGCCGGGCCAGACCAATCAAGGTAGTGGATGCTGTCCCAGAGACCCAAGAAGTCGGTACGATAGTTTGATGGTCCGAGTCATTCTAAGAATACTCTCTTTGGACAAACTTGAATCGGAGCAATGGAGTTTGTTGCAGTAGGCGCCGACTTCCCTCCAGTTTGGCGCCAGGCTCCCTGAGTGGTTCTTTCCCCTCGATCACCTGCATCGTTCTTGGCTTTAATGAAACGGACAAATAATCCTGAGTCCTCATAAATTAACTTGGAGGAAATCATTGGATTGGATGAGGAGAAGAGATAGTCGCATAAAACAAGGAGAAAAGAAGGAATGATGAAGGATACTGCAGGAAGCGTCTGGCGCGAAGGAGTGCAAAGAGCCATCATATGTTGATTTCTCGAGATGAATTCTATTCTTGACATATCGTTCGTTTCATGTTCTCTGCAGTGTTGTAATAGTTTCTGTCTTTATCCTCATTAACATTGTCAAGGTAGATAGGGTTGTGAAGAATCTACAAGAAGTAGTAGAAGGTAGTACTAGTAGTAATACTTGAAAACGATGTAAAATAGTTAACTACTAGTTACCGTCCGTTTAGACATGACTAAGCACGGATGTCATTCAAATTGTCACATGGATCAGATTAGAACCACATTCACTTCATTGAATACCATGACAATAGTAAATCATATGTCAGAAAAATTGATTAATATGTTTAATTAATAAATAAGATCTTCTCACAAATTCGAAACATTCCAGCGCCATCTTGGGGAGGAAAGAACATCAGCATCATGCCAGCTCCTAAAAACAAGAAAATATTTTCCTTTCTGGGCTCCTCTTGAGAACCCAGTGCAAGGGAGACAAAGGAATAGAATCGACTGAGACAGTTTGCAGGCATAGCCCAGCTTCCGAACTCTATCAAGGCAACCAAACACGACAATGCGGTCCTGAGGGGAATCTAATGAATCGTCTAAAAAAGGAAGAAAAAGAAACTCATCATGTCCAAATCAACATCAAGCGCTAGCCATTATTCATGCCTTGACCTCATACTTGCGGCGGAACATGTCGTCCACCTCAGTGAGGTAGTAGGTGTGGGGGAAGAGCGTCTCCGTGTTACCGGAGGGCTTGAAGTTCTTCTTCAAGTGAGCTTGCTTACGCAGGGCACACATCTAGAAATATAATAGTTAGTCAAGTCGAACCGCAAATTACCAAGACGGAAAGGAGTTCAAGGGGAAACTATTGCTTACCTCAACATAGGCCTGAGGGGCCAAGACATTCCTAGCGTTGAGGCGGTTGTGGAGGTCGAGCCTCTCAGCCATGTAAGACACGTCACCAACAATCTTCGCGCTGAACATAGAAGCAGCGAGACCACTGCCATAGGAGAAAAGTCCAATGCGCTTAGGCTGACTGGGGTCAAAGGTGACGTTGCTGAGCAAGCTGGCCAGGCCGGCGTAGACGGTGGCAGTGTACATGTTACCACAAAGAGTGGCAACGTCAAGGCTGGGCTTCACACGCTCAGCGAAGCGCTTCTTGGTCAGACCCATGAAAGTCTTCTCGACGTTCTTGTCAGTGAGACTCTTGCTGTAGTCTAGATCGCGCAGCTCAGGGGCGACTTCAGCGAAAGCGGGGTGGGTGGGGTTCTCGAGGAAATCGTTGTAAAGCATACGGCCGTACGACTTCTGGACCAACTTGCAGGTAGGGGAGTGGAACAGGATGTAGTCGAAGCGGTCCAAAGGAGTCTTGGATTCGTCATGGGCCACACCGTTGGTTCCGTTCTGAGCCTTCTCCTTCAGCGTCTTCTCACGAGCGGCGTAGGTTTTGTAGCAAGCATCAACAGCCTCAGTGTAGCACTGAAGGGAGTGCTGACCATCAACGACGGGGTATTCGCTAGTGAGATCAGGCTTGTAGAAATCGTAGGTGTGGGTGACATAAGAGCCGCGAAGACCAGGCTCAAAAACAATAGGAGCATCGGGACCAATGAGCAGGGCAACACAGCCGGCACCACCAGTAGGGCGAGCAGCTCCCTCGGCATACAGGGCAATGTCACCACACACAACAACAGCATCTCTTCCATCCCAGGCGGAAGACTCGAGCCAGTTGATGCTGTTAAATACAGCATTGGTACCTCCGTAGCAAGCGTTGATGTTGTCAACACCTTCAACGTTGAAGTTTCCGCTTTCGGCAAAGAGCTGCATCAAAACGGACTTGACGGACTTGGACTTGTCCAGGAGAGTCTCAGTGCCAACTTCGAGACGACCAACGGACTTGGGGTCGATGTTGTATTTGCGGAAGAGGGAGGAGAGGGTGGTCAGGGCAACAGAGTAGATATCTATTTACACTTAGCGAGGGGGAACAAATGAAAAAGATTCACAGGATAACAGGTCAACATACCCTCACGGTCATCACAGAAGCTCATTTTTGTCTGTCCCAGGCCGATTGTGTACTTGCCCTCACTGACACCGTCGAACTTCTCTAGCTCGGTTTGTTCGACACACTGCGTAGCTTGTTAGCAAGTGTTCTTCTTCTTTTAATTCTCTCTCGACACAACCTCGCTGACGGATCAGTGCACATACTTGCTTAGGGAAATAGACCTCAATGGCCTTGACACCAATGTTCTGGGGACGAGCAGACATAGTGGCGGTGTAAAAGGGGGGGTAGAATTGGAGATAGTTGAAGAAGTAAACAACCAAAGAGTGAGAGGAAGATTTGTTTATTAAGGTATAAGGGAAACGGTGGAAAACAAGAAGTAGAAAAAGAGAACGAGGAGGGAAAACAGCTGGGTAAGAGAACAACAAGGAGTAGGGAGGAGCATATATAAGAACCACAAGAGGGCTTCCGATCAGATTTCCTAGTGGTAAGTAACTTTTTTACACATTGCGAGGCAAAAATGACCGGGTCCAGTTCCGGATTGGCTGGCGTGAGGGAGGTGGACCCTTCGTTCCGTCGCTCATGGTTGGACGGGCCTGATTGTTCGGCCTGAGGCCCACACGCCTTACGGAAAATAGTTTAGCGGTACCTAGCTTAGTTGTGCATTGTGGTAAGAATGGTAACGACCAAGTACGGATCAGCAGATTAATTTCCCCACTCTGGTGCACTCCTCCATCCAAAATCTATCTCCAGGATATAATGTACACGGTACTCTACATACTAGAACTCCTTTTATCCTCAACCTATGAAAGAATTTTACAACTTGCAATCAGCATTTGGGCAAAATGCTTGCCTGATTTCGAATCGCCCCCTCCCTGTTTTCTTCCTCACCGACTCTTGCACCACCCGAGTTTCTCCTAGTCAATACCTGCTATCTTGTACATCCGGAGTATCATGATGGATGAGGTTGACGATGGTGGGCTTTGGTGTACCAGAGATCCATTTCAGGCACCCCCTTAACTTGTCGTGTGGGTTACTCCCGTTTGTCCGTACCGAGTGTCCATTTTTAATTCCCGACCAGAGTCCATACAGTAGTCTCGAAGGCTCCTCCAAATTTCATTTCCTCGTACTAGTAGTATAGCACCTGAGGACGGACATCATCATCGCTAGTACTAGTATCAAGGAACTTCCCTTTTCCTACATGGCCCACCCATACTGTACCACGTAGTGCATAATACACTTTGTCTTCTTCAATTGGGCAATTGAAAGTCATCGGCCCCGGAATACTTCACTGCCTTTAAAATGTCTGACAACGAAACCCGTATCCATGCCAATAGTAGCTTTTACCTTCTCCTGGTCCCGTGCACACGTCAACCCTGTCCTGTCAATACACCTCAGCTGCCCTTTGAACAGTAGCTCACATCTTTCCATCCGAAAACAAACAAAGAAAAATCAATAAATTGAAACAAGAATGTGTTACTATTCATTCTCCATCCATCTCTGTACACCCTGCGGGCCTCTTTTTTGTGGTTTTTATGGTTTTTAGTTTCATTTTCTGATTACGATATCCACCCCACGGTAGGTTCAGCCTCGAAAAGGAAAAGATTCCAAGAACAATCAATCTTATCATGTGGATCCGTTCGATTGAACCTGCCTGTACTCCAAGCACCTCAAGGTCAGTACAAAGGTTCCGATATCGCACAAAACGTGGGCAAAACACATTTCCACAGAGCATAATACATTCCTCAGGCTATTGTATGTCCTGTTTGGCATATGCCTCTGCTTGCTGTCGCAATAGCAATCTCATGGTGGTCTGACAGCGACCTTTCTTGCAGATCACAAGTTCACAATACCCGGTCCTCAAAGGTGAATTTCAGCCTCTATGCACGAAATTTCCAACTCGGTTATAGAAGAGGGGTACTAGCATTGCCGTGTGTAGTAATGTAGTACGGAATCCATAGCCATGCAAGTACGGACGGGTCCACCAGGTTTCGCGTGTTTCAGTTAGATCCCGAACATTTACGTATGTACATGATTTCTTTTCGTCGCGCCCAAAGATAATGTGATCCGGCTTGACCGGCAGAAAGAGTTCTTAGGCCGATTTCCCTGCATCTCGGTTTGGTCGGTGGGCCCTCCGGTCGGTATTTGGTGGGCGTGATGGATGACCACAACGACCATACAACGTATTAGGGCTTCTAGTACCACCTAAGGTGGACCTTGATATTCTGCCATTTACTAAATCTTTGCCACCGTTATTGTATCTGTTATTGTTACCACCGTTGCTTTTCCCTGCTACTTACTTCTGCTTATCTTTCTTTTCCTATGTTGGATGTGTTCTAGTGAGACCACTTAGAAGTTATTGAGAGAATGGCTAGCATGGATATAAGTAAAGGCAAGCCATAGCGCTCGAGTCCCCGCATTTCCTCTAGGGATAATATTCGTCGTTACTAAAACTCACAGAATTATTATTACACACATCGAGGCCTTCTATAAGGCAAAGGTATCATCGGTATAACTGATAGAGACATCATCAACCTTTCGCTTAGGTCTTTCGGACTACACTATGACACATTCTCCATGCTCATCCAATCAAGGCTCAGATCGTGTGGTTTGGGTACACGATTTTGCCCGTGCTATCGGCTTTAAGGCAGGCTCAACATTTGTTCAAGAAGTTACCAAGCGTAGAAATAGCTGATGGGACGCTTGGAGATTGTTGAGAGTAATACCATAAAAACTAGTCGTTGTAATGTTGTGCAGCGAGACAGCTGGTGGCAGCCTGGTGCTACCTCAACATATATATAAACTTGCCGCTATGAGCTATCAAGACCGCAGCGGCTCCTCACCAATGAAATACAACTGCACTGGAGATAATTGGTACAATTAGTAGCTAAGATTTACGTCTACACGTCCAAGGCACTGCATTCACCACCAATCAAGGCAATATTCTAGCGACTTAACAACAATTACAGGAGCCACTGCCTGTAAAGCAAGACCAGTGGTGATAATTTAAAAAAAGGTGGTAATAATAATGTAGCAAACTATATAATTTTTCTACCTTTGCTCCTAATCTAACCTTGATCTCCGTTGAACTCCCTTCTAGTTTATTGCTTTGGAGATATCTTACCTCGCTATGGAATAATAATAATTATTCACTTGACCCTCCCGTCGACTTCTAGGTCTGTTGCTGTCCTTTCCATTCTCGGTCCAGCATGCCGAAGGTTAACAGATCATGCCAATCTCCATCGTACCAGATAGCTTCTCTTTGCCGTCCTTCAAATTGAAAGCCCAAGCGCTCATAAAGGCGTGTAGCACCTTGGTTATAAGAGAAAGCTTCAACTGCGATACGGTGCAAACCAGCTTTCCGAAACCCCCAATCTACCGCCCATTCAATCGCTTCGCTTCCGTAGCCATAATTCTGATAGGGCTTAGCAATATCGATGCTGATAGAACTTTTGCGATGATGGCCGTGACCCGGTTCGTCCTTTTTGAGAGCTATAATTCCGATCGACGTCCACATTTCCTGGGGAGGGCCAGCCGTTCCAGGTTGGTCATGGGCATTCGGGGTTGGTAGTAAGATGATAACTGCTAAAAGTGTGTCCTTAACAAGATTTTTCTTGTAGCCATTCAATGTATCACTTTTCGTTTGAGGCTTTAATAGTGTTGAATTTGAGGTCGCGTACGATAGGGGATCGGACTGGATGGAATGAATGAAATCGTCGTCTTCCGGTGTGTCTTCAATGGCTCGATAAGCTAGTCGCTCGGATCGAAAAGGGTTGAAGGTGGACATTATGGTATAACACGTATCCTGCAATGTAAACTGCCTAGTCTATATGATATGGCTGGTACGTCTTCTTCTACAATTCAATTGGAGGGAGGGATTTCAATTTATAGAGAGAATCTGAGGCTTAACCGAAAAGAGTGTCCGCCATATACAAACGATATGCACATCGGATGCACAGGTGACTCGACCCCACATAACAGTGGGTCAAGTCCTTTGACAGAACATACTATACGGAGTAGATGATCGAGATTTATGAAAAGATGGGACGTATCGACGTAATGCCGTACAATAGTTCACTCTGGTCGATCCCTCCTAGGGCAGTTTCTGGACCCCAAGTTCGAGGCATAAATCTACCTTACAATGGTTGTAGATGTTGCTAGAGCAGGTTTCTTGTGACATACTCGATGTCTAGAGGGAACCAGGATTATATGTAAATAGAAGAACAAAAACGATATAGAATCAGGGTATTCGATGAACGAGAAACGTTAGCATTGGAATACTTTTGAGGCATAGATGTACGGAATGTACGGTATGGTAACCGTCATTAAGAACGATAAACAGTCATGGCCAGGTGAATCTGCGATTCTCTCGCTCGCTCTCTTGCTCTTCACTCATACAAAGCAGTTGAACTGATTGAACGTTCTGGTTTGCATCCATGGAATCTGCAAGGGGTCTGACGCTCCACAGTCATTCCTGACGATGTGCACCTGGTACAATAAGGATTCAGGGCAAAGAGGGAAAAAAAACCCTTCTGCCTGCTTACGATCGGAGTGCCGAGCGTGGGTCTCAGTTCTCGTCTCGCCTGCGCCACGCCTTTCGACTAACATTCTGGGGACAACGACGACGCCTCAAACTCCCTCCGACTCTATCTATCATTTACTAATTAAGTATCGACCCGTTAGAGACCTCTCCTTTTCACGGACCGCCACCCCTCCACGATCCCTTAGCCCCTTCTTTTCTTTATCCATTTTCTCCTAGATTAATTTTCTTTCAGTCCTTTTCTCCGGTCTGGGAGCATGTTTGCGACTATCACTCCTTTCCCATCCAGATCATGATCCCGCTTAGTCCGGTATCTGTGACCCGGTCCAACTCGCACGGCTCCCCGGAGCCCCAGATCTTCCACTATGGGCAACGACAGTAAGTTCGAATACGAAGCCCTCCCTATTCCCTCCTACGAAGAGGCCGTTGGTGCCCGCCCGAGTTCCTCCCGATCCAACCTCGGCCCCGAATCAAACGACGAATCCGAGAGGCAAGGTCTACTTCACAATGTCGACGATGTCACTGCCCGCGAAAGTGCCGGTCCTAGACCTCATGGATACCAACCTCCCACGGTCGAATCTGTCCGAGATAGCCTGGATGGTCTCGACTCCCCGGGCGCCGACTCGGAAAGGGGCTCGCTCGAAGAGTTGCAGCGGGAATTACATGAGATGGACGTGGAGGACGGCGATCAGCAATCGTCTCAACGCTCTCGCTTATTGCGTTCTCGATTCTCGAAGCGGTTCAGTAGTCTGACGCGATCCCTATCTGCCATTCATCTTCCTATACGCCGTTATCTACCGAGTTTCCGCTTCACCATTGATCTTAATGGCACTCGAACAAATTTGAGAACACACGGATGTATGATCATGCTGCGGCTATTTGGGCTATTCTTAGTAGTTTTAGTCGTTTATATCTTCTTCGTGTCGGATATTTTCAGCATGAACTCGCGATTTATCATGGGCCAATCTTATAGTGCGGCATCTGTGGAGAATTTCGTCCAGGGCCACGTTAATGAAACAAATATCGCGGAGAACTTGAGGAGAGTCACCAACTTTACTCATATGGCCGGTACCGAAGGAAGTTATGCGTTGGCGGAATGGGTGAAGCAGGAGTTTAAAATCGCAGGCTTGGATGAGATTGAAATGGAGGAATTCCAAGTGTACCTGAATTACCCGAGAGATGACGGAAGAAGAGTCGCTATTGTTGACCCTCCTGATCTCTCCTGGGAGGCTACACTCGAAGAAATGAACGGGGAAACGCCCGTGTTCCACGGGCATTCAAAAACTGGAAATGTCACCGGCCCTATAATTTACGCCAATTATGGTTCTCGGGAAGACTTTCGGTACCTCGCTGATCAAGGCGTCACCGTAGAAGGCTCTATAGCACTCGTGAGGTACTACGGGTCGGAGTCCGATCGAGCTTTGAAGATCAAAGCTGCTGAATTGGCCGGCGCGGTGGGATGTATCATCTACTCAGATCCCTCTGAGGATGGCTTCGTCCGAGGACCAGCCTATCCGGATGGGCGCTTTATGCCGGAAGACGGTGTTCAGAGAGGTGGCGTAAGCTTGATGTCATGGGTGGTGGGAGATGTTCTCTCCCCAGGCTTTGCGTCCACACCGGACGAAAAGAAAAGACTTAAGCCAGAGGAAAGCCAAGGATTGACCAGCATCCCTAGCTTACCCATCGCCTGGCGCGATGCCCAGAGGCTTTTGCAGGTTATCAAGGGCCATGGCTCCCAGGTGCCTGACAAATGGGTTGGTGGCGTTCCCAATGTGGACCAATGGTGGACTGGAGACGGAACGTCGCCCAAAGTCAACCTCATGAACTTACAAGACGAGGAGGAAAGGCAGCCTATTTACAACGTGTTCGGGAGAATCATCGGTTTGGAACAACCAGAGAAGAAGATCATCGTTGGAAATCACCGAGATTCATGGTGTCTGGGAAGCGCAGATCCGGGCAGTGGCACTGCTGTTTTTCTCGAGGTCGTGCGAGTCTTTGGCGAGCTTCGTACCTTTGGCTGGCGTCCGCTCCGTACTATTGAATTCGTCAGCTGGGATGCAGAAGAATATAACTTGATCGGGTCAACAGAACATGTGGAGAAGGAGTTGGACGCGCTCCGTGACAATGCATATGCTTACATGAACGTCGATGTTGGTGTTAGCGGTAATGAATTTGAAGCTTCGGGATGCCCGCTTTTCGAGCGTGTTGTGACGCAAATTCTCGGACGCATATCGGACCCGGTCGCCAATGAAACGCTGAAAGAAATTTGGGAAAAGAAACAGAAAAAGCTCGGCCCGCTCGGCGCCGGAAGTGACTATGTGGCATTCCAAGATATTGCTGGAACCTCCAGTGTGGACTTCGGATTTGTTGGGGAGCCATATCCCTATCACAGTTGCTATGAGAACTGGGACTGGATGGTACGGTTCGGAGATCCCGATTTCCAGTATCACAAAATTTTGGCTCAGTTCTGGGGATTGCTCATTCTTCAATTTGCGGATACTCCAGTCTTACCCTTTGATTTAGAAGTGTATGCCGATCATATTGCTTCATATGTTATCGATCTGGAAAAATATGCCAAGTCCCAGAACGTCCCGATTGCCCATGACGCTTCTAGTGGCAATAGCAACCGTGAGATTACTGTCACTTTCAAGCCTTTGTATGATGCTGCCGCCAAGGTCAAGGATGATGCAGCGCAGTTCCAGCAGTGGGCCCGTGTGTGGCACGACACAGTCTTGGGCACTGGAGGCTTCGAGAACAATGTGATTGCGGCTCAGCGAATGGAGCACAATGCTCGAATGGCTCGTTTCGATACTCATCTTTTGGACGATAGGATAGATGGCGGCGTAAGCAGTTTACAAAATTTGGAACAACGGATGTGAGCTAACTACTTCTCACCAGGTACCTAATCGCACGCAGTTCAAACACGTCCTTTTCGGGCCTGAGCTATGGTCCGGATATGATGCGACATTTTTCCCTGCCATTCGAGACAGCATCGATTCGCGCAATTGGACACTGACCCAGGAATGGGTTGATCGGGTTTCCGACATCCTGCACACTGCAGGTGATAAACTCCTGCATGGCTAAATCTTGCAGCTTGCCTGATCTTTTTACCTCCCATTTTATCAACACTTCTCGAACCCCGATATTCTTTCCCTATCATTCGATACGAACGTCCACTGAAACTCTACCGCATCTAAAACACTGCTTAGACTTCCTCCCGCTTGTTTCAGCGCCTATTGTATATGTCTACCTGTGTTCTTGTCCTGCTTGTTTGTTAGCCTCTGTGGAGAAGTGTAGCTCGAGGAGCCATTGTATCATCCGCCATCTCTCTACTGACCTTCATTAAAAGATCTCTTGTTGGGTCTAGTGATACGTCCGGTAGGCATTTTGCTCCTTTCCGCACTATATATCCACTTATCCTTGCATAACTTCTCCTTTTGTTATTATCTTACTGTATGTATCTTTCTGGTCTGATGGGTGACCACTCAATTATCCCATCTGGTGTTTATTTACCGGCGACAAGTCAGACTTGTCCCTGACTCGGAGCAGAGGAGTAGTGGGTTCAGGATCAATAAATGTTCAATTTCCTCGACACCATCCAAGTGTTCCTGATATAAGAATCAATGCCTTTTAGGAGATATTGGTGAGCGACCTTCATAGCGCCCCAGTCATACGGATTTTGACCAAATCCTAAACTAACAAGAACGGAATCTAAATATTGATATGAAATTCCATTTTTATTTCATGATTATAAATTCTAAAAGGGCCCGCTACTATATACAAAAGAAATGAACCCGATATCTCATAGATATATTACATAGACAGCATTGTTATACAACAGTTCCCTCCACCCAGACAGCCGAACACCACGCTCCCGTTGAAAGACAGCACCTTAAAAAGCAACCCGTTTATTTAGAAACAATCAGCGGCGGAAAAGAAACAAAATGCGGCATATTTCCATATTGCGCGGATCTCTTTTTCCAACATCGCTATTGCGGCAGCCTGCTGCACCGACTCATTTTCTGAAGCTTTCAACGCCCAGCGTTGGGGTTTCGACCATTCGATCGCAGGGTACGCCTTCATCGCGTCGCCGGGCGAAGAAACTGTCGCATTCCGAGACAATTTGGGCCCATTCCGCAAGAGCACGTCCCACGTACTTATTTGCAACAAGTGGGTGGCTTATTGCAGGCTCTGGAGCTGATTTACTGGAAACCTTCTCAGATTCAGAGCCGGTGTTAGTGTTCTTT